GCGACTAGAAGTACCTATGCTTGTCTTTAGCAATGCCCAGGGGACCCAGGTATGCAGTGTTTTGTGTGACATCAGTTACTGGAATTGAGTTCTTGCCCCCTTCTGCATGCAACTATTGCTCAGGGAAGTCGTACATTACAGTGATGGACCAAGAATGAGGTGCTGGAAAGGCTGGCCAAAGCATTTTTAGGACTGAACTCCTGAGTTTATTGTCACTTTAAGTAAAGACACTCCAAGAAGCTATATTTTCTATTCATATCTTACGCTAAGTACTATGGGGTTCTATTTGAGTATTTCTATTAAGGCTGGAGTTCCACTTTAAGTTACTGCTATGTTTTTGTTTTCTTGGTCATGTGTTTAGTCTTCTGGCATATGTGTGTACCATCTTGTCTTGACTTGTATTGTAACGACTTCCTTATATTGCAAAGCGCTGTTAAACTGTTGGCGCTATATACATCCTTTATTATAATTAAGGATACTAGTATCGGTGCCGATACCGAATATTTGGGTGAGTACTCCTACTCGCCCAAATGCTCAGATACGTACCTTCGATACTGGAAACGGAGATCTCTCTCTCTCTGACCGGCAGTGCGGAGGAAGCATGAAGCTGTCTTCCTTTCCAATCAGGAAGCCGGGCGGTGGGTTATGACCCGACTCCCGGCTTCCTGATTGGCTAGGAAGCCGGCTTCACTTGTCGCTAGGCAGCCTGGCTTCCTAAGCATTTAGGATCATGATTAGGTCATGATCTGCCACCCGACTTCCTGATAATCGGGGGAACACGGCACCGGTATCAGTATTCCGTATCGGCGAGTACCGAAAAAAACGGTATAAGTGCATCCCTAATTATAATATAAGAGAATAAAGCTCTACTTGTCTGTTATCTCATGTGCAATACCTCTATTTAAGTGTCCCTTTACTATAAAAGTATCTAAGGAACAATGTATAAGAACAGCATTGTTCTTTCTTGGAAAGAATGCCTCCAGGCACAGACAGTCATGAATGACGTGGTATAGGGCATTTCTTTTATTCTCATATCTCTGACTTCTATAGTGGCACTGTGCTACAAGGCACCGCAGAAATGTCAGATCACATTACATACATAATTAGGAATTATTATTCCAGAATTAGGATGATCCTTCCTATGAAAGCACATCTCTCTCTCTTTGACTTTAATGTAAGGATAGATGAGGGGCAAGTGTTGCACTGGTCTTATTCCAAAGGAAGGCAGCATAGCCAGTAATTACGGAGTGCCATTATGGTGATGCTTTCTCTGAATAATTCTAGTTAGGAAACAGAGGGATTACTACAGAGGGGCCCAAAAAAATGTATGCACACTTCAACATTAAAAAAATATATGCAAAGAAATGTTATTACTAGATTTATATGAACCTGAAAGGGCAGCTTTAAGTCATGTTTGAATTGTGCAATCACATTAGACGCTCAAAGCGGTCACCATTAGCATCCAGACACTTTTGGTTTTCTGTGCAGTACTGCATGAACAACATTGACTAGATCGTCCGCAGGGATTGCTCTGCATGATATTTTAGTCTCTTCCCATAGTGCAGCCAGCGTAGGTGGTTTTCTATGGTATACCACATTCTATAGTGTTCCCCACAGATAGAAATCGAGGGGAGTTAAGTCCAGGGAATGAGGGGGGAATTCAACAGCACGTCTGTGTCCTGTCCAACATCCTGGCAGAATGTCATTGAGATTACGTATCGGTGGAAGTAAAATTGCTCATCCGTATAAAGCGCACTCATGGCCGGTTTGTTGAAACCACTCATTGTACTCCATTCTCCGATCAGGGTCATCTTCAGTCATGGTGTGTAACAGTCTCGGGATGTAAAATTTCCAATGTGCTCTCTTCGGAATACGTTGTATGCTTGATCTGCTAATTCCTGTCTCACGTGCACATTGTTTGACAGACATCGTTTCCGAGGAAGCAGGACTTGTTGCTGTGCGACACCTCCCAGGTCTTTGCTTGTGCACATCTCACACAGTGCCATCGGTTTCAAACTTATCACTAATCCGTGTTAGTCGCCATTGTTGTTCAACTTCACACATATTTTCAAATTTACAATACTACTTCCAAATGGTCTTGTGTTACTTGAAAGTCAAGCGTGCCTCCGCCATTTTTTCTCTCTCCTGACTGTCACATGATGATACCAACAATGGTGCGACTACTTATATCTTTAGAGGAAACATAATACTACACATTGCTGCCAAAATTCAATACGGATTTTAAAAAAAAAGAGTATAGATAACAACTGTCGAAGTGTGTATACATTTTTTGGGGCCCTTCTGTTTACATGGGAGCCAAAGATTGCAACTTCTGCATGTATAGTATGTTCTACTGCAGGGGTGGACATATTAATATGGAATTTAGGAGCTAGACTGCGCAGTCCAGGAGTCAGAAGATCAAGACCTTAAAAATTAGGTGCCAGTTGTAATTTTTAAGGAGAGTAGACTACCTGGCTCCTGGGATTTGTCCAGCCCTGATTTTAATGTATGCGCCCCCCTTCCCCCCCCCCTTGCCTCTTAGCTGTAGGATTGTTTCATGGAAGCAACCTAATGTACATATTCTCACAAGGAAATGGGTTGTCATGTGTGCACAGAAATAACTTGGAAGCAAAGTGATTTAAAATACAGTTACCTGAGGCATTTGTTTTCATGATGGAAGTAGGAAGTACTAATGAGATTTTACAATTACGTTTATTGAATGCTTTGGTTTACCACCCCTGAAGCTACAAGTCATGTGGAACGTATGGAAGGCACAGACCTCTTTTAAATGATCCCAAGCTCTTATTATGCTAGAATTGTTTGATCAGCATTTTTAATCCTAAACAACCTATTTTGCCTCTGAGACTATGCTAAATAAGCCTCCTGGTATCATAATGACATATGGCATAAACAACAACGTCATGGGCACATTGTGTGATTTGCATGCTGTAATTCTAGTAAGCATTGCCATGGAGAGTTGTGTGGTTTTGCCCCTATTGTTTTGCAGGGAGGTTTGATCAAAATATTTAGCTCTGTGATAATATGAAGATGTTAAAGGGAACATGTGAAGATAGGAACAAATGTTGCTGACTTGCTTTCAAAGGTACAAACTTGAGGGGCTGTAGATCCCGATCCTGGCAGTAGTACCTAGGAAGGGGTGTAGGAAGGAAAGTTATTATTTTACAATTTCGCTGACTGCAAGTCATTCAACGTTCGGAACTAGTGGGGAAAAAACAGCTAAAATATATAGACAACCATCCGACCACCTCTCCCTGCTTGTTTAGTCTTCTGAGGGGGGTTTATTACCTATCTTACTCCAGTCTGTGGGGTTCCCTTCACCAGACCAACTGGCCCCTAAATCCACCTCTCCTTTGCTGTGGTTTACCCCCCTTGCTGTGTCTTTATGTACAGTTCAGGACAAGCGGTCCTATACTGGTGTCCACAGGACAGAGATGATTAAACATAGAAAATTGATTTCTGCATAACGCAGCTTTTAAAAAAAGAGAAAAAAATTTTATGCTCAATAGTAGAATATAAATAATATTTATGTGCCATCTGTGTTTTATCATTCAGTTTTTCTTGTTTTACAGGAAGGTCTGATCTCTTAGGATTTCGACCATCAGCCCAGAAGTGATATTTATCAGGTAAGTAATGTTTTACAGTAGTTTGTTATAGAACAACTCCAGGCAGAAATCATCTTAAACCTTGCAGTGGGGCTATGCGCTTGTTTTAGTCTAGAGACGTAAAAGTTATCCTTGACCAAACCTTGGAGACAGCTGGCTGCTAGACTGGTCCCTGTCCGTTCTGTCCTTCTCCGTTCCAGGGATGGAATGTCCCCCAGCATCCTCACGACCATTACACTGTATTTGCTTAATGACTTATAGGACCTTTTAGAGTGCCGGAGCAGAGGAAGAGTGAGGGTGATGATTGGACCAAATTGATAAATTTCCCTCTGTGACTTTAATTATTCCCTGTAACTTTTTGGGGGACAGAGCTTTCTTTTGGTGGTATTTAATCACCACTGGGGGGTTTATTTTTTACATGTGAAAAATTGTACTTAAATAATGTTTGTTCATAAATTTAGGCCAAAATGTATTCTGCTACATTTCTTTGGTTAAAAAAAAACAAGGCTGGCAATCAGGACTCTGATGGACTGGCAGGTTGGCAATGTGGCAATCACGACTCTGATGGAATGGCAGGCTGGCACTCTGGCAAAATTTGTGCTAGAACATGTGTTGGATAACAAAGTATTGTTTGAACTGGTTGTCACTCTCTCCTCTCACAGCTGAGTAGTGCGTGAGAGATGAGGAGAGAACGCTGGAAACTGCTACAATGTTTCCATTTAGTGATTCTGTGATTGGTCATAGCGATCACATGGAACAGAACCGATTTTCACTGGCCCTGCACATAATTGTTTATACTACACGCTCCAATGGACAATGTGTTTAAAGTTACTTGCTGAGGCGCACAGGAGCCAAAAAACCCCAAAAACTTAAATTTACGGGAAACTGCCGGGAGCCGACAGCCGTCTGACCGTACAGTGGCAGTGGGCGGACGGCAACAGGTTAAGTAATGCAGATATTGGATGTATCTGTTTTGCATCCAAATACATATGAACCTGGCTTATCTCCATTTTTTATTTTGAAAGGTTTTTCATTTGTATAATAATGTTAAACTATAACCTTTCTCTGACGAGAATTGAAATACAGGTGCTGCAAATGTTAAAGGTTATAAGAGATTTCCTCTCCCTTTCTTTTTAGAATGGTTGTTACCACGACAGGAAATCACAGGTAGCAAAAAAACAGATATTCTAACTGTCCTCCACAATATTAAAAATGTTTTTACACATAAATAGCAGGATGGACATGCATTGGCTCTAGTTATCTGAACAAATGTTGTGCTTGGATCACGGAGCAATGAAATTGTTTTAAACTGTCTTCCATTTACATTTTTAATATGCATTCTAACTCTATGTAATGTGTTTCTCCATTCAACAGCTGAGAGGCCTACCGTTTTTTTTCAGCGTGGCAAGAAATTTATGGACTTGTACATGATGAATTGTGAATTATTAGCAACATGCAGTGCCTTGGGGTACCTAGAGGAAGATACCTACCATAAAGAACCTGATTGCCTTGGTGAGCATTAGATACTTCTACAAAATCGTTTTTTTTTAACTTGCTAAAATTCCTTTAAAAATCAAAATGTCAAAAAATAATTACAAAAATGTTGCATGTGTGCTGTACATACACATAACCACAGATATGCACAGTGCATATGATTGTGACTGCAGCATTTTTCTGCCACCATTACCTCCTACTGTCTTAGGACAGTGTGAGGTCTCCTGCACTGTCCTCTCCTCAGTCCATGACGGGCTCAATGCATTGCTCCTACAAAACCGTGTACTCCCCTGGTGCATACATTTTACTAGGGCTTCAACAACTAATCGACTTAGCCAATGATGATCGATAATAAGAATCATTGTCAACGATTCTCATTGATTAGTTGATTCTCCTTCTCTCTTCCACGGTGGGAGCCAGTGTTTCATGCGCTCTTTGTCCCTTCCGATACCCGCTGCTCCCAGGGGGGATTGGAGGGGACACAGACCCCTGCAGCCAGTGCCCATTGGTAAGGAGAGCTCCACACCTCCATCCAGCGCCTCATCAGCATCATTTATGCTCCCCTGTTCTCCTCCCCGCTGAGAGCCCACAGCTCCTCCTCAGCAGACCTGAAAGAACTTTAGCCTCTGCCGTTTTGATAGCAGGCAGTGGGCCGTTGCAATAGCCAGCCTACTATTGGCTATTGCAATTTAAAATAGCCAATAGAAGTCTGGCTACTGCACCCACTCACTGCCTGGTGTGTTTACATTCAGCTGCCTCAGCAGGCAGCTGTCATTCCCCAGCTAAAGCTATTGAAGTGGAAAGGTGACACTAGGGGTCTAATAGATTTAATTTAAAGTCCACTGCCCCCACGAACGCGCGCATACGAACAGAAACACAATTCGGGTGAACCCATGTACAAAAACGACAATTGCCCTACACTTGTCAGGTATCACAGCGTGCGCCAGAGTGACATCAATAATTCTCAGGCCAATATTCATGGCTAACGCTAAAATGATGAACAGGATTTAAAATTATTAGTATATTTTAAACTTATGTTTTTGATATATAATAGTATTTTTTTTTTTTTTCCCAGTTCAGATACTTGCCATTTTCACAAGAACTACCAGGGTTGCAGAGGTTGCAGCTGTGACTGGGCCCTGGTGCTCCACCACTTTCCTGAAATCATTAGTCTGTATTGTTTTAGAAAAACTGTCACATGACACTAAACACATGCATCAGTACTTGTATCTGTGAGTACTTGGTCTGGAAAAAATGGTATCGGTGCATCCCCAGTATAATTTAACAAATCTTACATTAAAACAGGCATGCACAAATATCAGGAGCCCCGTTGCCAATGCTCTTTAAAAATGACAGCTACCTCCCTTGACTTTTTCTCTAGTCTAGTCTTGTAGCTGGAAAAGTATCTGTACTTGTAATCTTGGTACAAGTACGGTGCTTAGTCTCTGAACATCCCTAGTTATTTTATTATATTGAATTGTTTTCAATTCAGATTATTTTAAATTCATGAAACTAATTCAAATTAAAAAAAACTTAAGAAGGTGGGGGAAAAAAAAGTATTTTTCCATTTTCGTTCTGACAAATTCTGCTACGGGAGGTACGTTGCGGTGCCATTTATTATACTCAAGCAATGTTGTGCCACCTGTCCAATTACACTAGGGGGCGTGGCTGCGGTGCAATTGACTTCAATGCACCGCCATGCCCCCTTCCTCCCTAGAACGAAGGGGGGAGTTTAATGTGCGTTCCAGCAGCTGTCGCTCTTGAACGCACCGTAATTGGTGTGAACTGGCCCTTAAAGTTGAACTGTGGTCAAAAATGACACATGATGCTGTCTGTCACTAGTATAAACTCTCCTCTCTACATTTTTTGATGTTGTAATGGTTCAATTCCTCTACGCGTTTCGCTATAATAGCTTCAGAAGGAAAGGAGGTATTCTCCAACATTCCCTTCTTGCAGTCCCCACTAAGGCCAATGTACATGTGCGGTAACCTTGGTTGGCTTTTACCTGAGTGCCAGATCACATGAGCATTTGTTCAAATATCTTCTTGCAGTCATTTGGACTTTTTTTTTTTTTATGGAATACCTCCTTTTCTCCTGAAGAAGCTATTATAGCAAAACGCATAGAGAGCCATTACAGCCATCCATCTATGAAACTTACCATTTACTCATGCAATTCTGAATATCATATCCATATCAACTCTACAAAGTTCTCTAGAGAGATGGTGTAGTAATCAAATTGTACAATATCATATCATGTGTTCGCATATGATTGGGTTGGGGAAAGGCAACTACTTAGAGCCTGGTCAGGATTTCACTGTTTGTGAAGCGGGTAATAACAGGAACATGAGGGACTGGGATGAAAAAAGAAATGGGTGGTAATGGGTCCCTTTTAATTCAGTTTTGTTACTATCATCCGACCAGTTAGTCTGTTGTTTTTCTTCCTTTTAACAGACCAATCTGTGCAGCAAAAGTGGTTATTAGGGGGTTCAGACAAGTCAATGAACATTGACAGGGGTGCTTATAATAGAAAAGTTTTATTCCTAAAGTTAAAGCATTTACCCAAGAAGAGAAAAAATGTTCCTGTAACTACTTCAAAACTGTTATCTGGAGTTGTGCTTTATTTGTTAGAAATTGAATGTAAGGTTTAGATAAACCTACTAGTCCAGGGGTAGCCAAACTTTGGCCCTCCAGTCGTTGTGGAACTTCAAGTCTCATAGGCATGGAAAGACTCGGGCACAGGCATGATGGGATTTATAGTTTCACCACATCTGGAGGGGCGATGTTTGTTTGGCTACCCCTGCAATAGTCCATCTAATACTACCCTCTGCACAGTTTAACAATGCTGCTGTCTAAGGCGGCTGCGCTGCTGTTCTATAGATACAGTGAAGGAGTGAGCGCAACCAACCTAAGACTAGGTTTGTTACTGGGTAACAAACGGGTAAAAAAAAACCCTTAAAAAGGACTGATCAGCTGCAATATATATTACATTTTTGTTCTTGAATTTAGCTATACTTAAATATATAAAACAAAATCCTGCTCTTCATAGTGGTTTATAACCCGCTGTTCATTCTTCCTCCATAGAAAGTGTGAAAGATTTAATCCGTTACCTGCGCCATGAGGATGAGACCAGAGATATCCGACAACAGCTGGGAGCAGCTCAAATCTTGCAGAATGATCTCGTGCCTTTAGTCATTCAGCATCACAGTGACAAACAGCTCTTCGATGCTGTTATTAGGTAATCTAAAGGTGGCCATCATTTCTGTGTACTATACATTGCTAACTGTAAGGGGCTCATTTATCTCTCTGCCGGGTACTGCAGTTTTTACTTCGCACTACACCTACATGTAATGCTCCATTTATAAAATACGGGCCGCAGTGTGTAGCCTGCAGTGCTCACTGGAGTGTTGTCTGCGTAAAGCTGCAGAGAAGGCTCCCTGATAGGAGGACGGGCAGGTCATGTGACTCAACTTCTCTCCTCCCAGCAGTAAGGCCCACCTTCATTGTGGGGGTATGTTTTTCCCCGAAGTTCTATCTAGCTGGAATTCTGGGCAAACCGCAAAATGCAACGTTGAAAAATAGTCCTTTTATCGCACTGCACTTGCAATTAGATCATCTACAACATTTACAAGTTTATATATACTGCTTCCTTGATTAACATGGCTTCATGATGGGTCACCCAAATATTGTGTTTAAGTGAAGCTAACCAAATAAAACTACCAGGGCTGCCAGTCTACTCCATTGTCCATTGGGAGCAGCTTGATGATAATTAAACAGCCTAGGGGTATACTGCTGCCTACAAGGAAAATTAACATAGAAAGCTGAAGGCGAGCTCCCATTAAAGGTACAACCACTCCCAGCTCACAACTGCTCAGTTCTGCTTATCATCCACTGATGTATCTCTCCTTTCTGCTATACTTTTTGCTTGAATTGGAATATTGTTTCCTCCATCAACAGATACCTCTGTTCCCTCTGTGACGCTTTTGCAGTTGACAGTGGCTCCCTGTCTATTATCCAGTTAGCACAGGACTCCACTTTCATGTCAGGCCAGTATGTCTGGGGTTTCATTGTGGAGTTATTGAGCCAGAGCTGCGGCAATGTTCCTGTCCCGTTGCTGAATACCCACTGTTGTGAGTACCTAGCAAGCTTAATGCTGTGCTGAGTTTTTTCCTGTGTTGCTTGCCTTATCAGATTTGTCATTTGTAGGATGGCCACATGAGGGCGATCCGCTCCTGTTTTTGTTTCGATCTTGGCAAGCTGCACTTTATTTTTATGAATGGGAAACCCTTCTCTTTATTTACTCTTGGGCTGTAAAGGGAGCAGTGATTACTTTTGTTTATTCAGGAGGCCAAGCGGTGTATGCATTTAGTCTAGTGTTAACGAACACCCTCCATAGTGGCAAGTTCTCACAGATCCTTTTCTGCCAATTTAATTCCTGGCATACCAAATTCAGCTTGGGTCTGTGAGTAATTCTAACGTTTTTTTTTTTTTTGGTAGGCCCATCTCTTGGATACACACCTATTTTGGTCGTAGACGACATATCTGGCACCAAATGTAAGGGTGGTCCCTCTGCAGCCGCAGGCAAATCTTCCATTCAGGACCTCATTTGCACTGTGTGCAAGGCTGAGCTTTGCACGAGGAAAGATTGTGCTTCTATAACCTTACAGCTCTCAGTTGTGACCGCATGCATCGATGGCCATTTCTGACCCCCCTCTTTCCTCCTCTTCTGTTCATGTTTTACATTGGAAGTATTTTTTTCTGTTATACAAGGTTTTATGACTCCGTGCAAGTTGTTGCATCCCTGCTCACTGCCACCTTCCCCTGTGGAATTTAACGGAGTTCTGAGTTCCTTTTAGAAGAGGAGACCAGCACAACAGGCAACTTTTCTTATCGATGCTGTGTTTCATTTAAGATTAGAGGATTCCACCATCCTCTACCACGGTTTTTGGACTCGTTCCACCAAGGTGTTTTTTCATCATCCCCTATTCCATGGTTTTTCTCTACAAAGATTAATTGTGAACTGTTCCTGGCAATCTGTTCCTTTTGTGGGGGAAATGGGCTACTCTTCCCATAGTCAACCCTTCAGCGTCTCGCATTAACAAAGCTCTAACCATTCCTATAGAAAACGCTCCAGCCTTTAACCCCTTTGCTGCCATGGACAGCAGTACCACACTGCATGGCTTGTCCATTTACATTTCTTCAGTCGACTCCTGTTTTTCTATTGGAAGTGATTTGAGCGGCTGTAAAGCCATGCTATCACTTCTATGGGTTCCTCAACATGACACCCCCCTGCCCAACTACCTCTGCCATATATTACAGGATCTGCTTCCCCTCCTGTGGGTTTTGGATGGCCAATGCAAGGAAAACAGAGGGGGCTATTGACATTAATAGAATTAAGTGACAAAAAGTTAAAATAAAGTTAAAATTTCATAAATATTTTTTTTTAAAGCCCCTTGCACACACACATGCAAACATAAAAACATGCATTGGTGTGCCTGCGTAAAATGCATTTGGTAACACCGCACACCTCACGGAGAGCAAATATTCTAATAATGCATCTCTAGTTTACTTCTATATTTTTAAATGAGAACTATTGGGAGAGTAAAGTGTACTCTTCCCATTAGTTTGAGCTGGTGTGTGACACTGCAGCTGTCACACGCTGCCTCAATAGGACCAGAACTGAGTAATCACAAACGGCTGATCGCTCAGCTCATGGCTTCTCCCTGCAGAGAGTGGTGGCTGTCGGTCACAGCTCCCTGCATGGATTTCCCCCTCCCCTCTCTCTGTTTTCTAGTGCCTATTGGAGGGAGGGACAGATGGGGGAAGGGGCGGGCACAACTGCCCCTGAATCTGGCTCTAGAGCCGGATGGATCCCGTCAATATTGGCGGGATATTTCCCAGCTGCAGCGTGGCTCTGCGCTGTTGGCATATAGTGGGCTGTAGCCCGCTATATGCTGACTTTGGGTTACAGGAGTACATTAATGAATGTACTCCTGTGACCAAAAAGAGAACTATAGCCAAAAAAAAGTTTGGCTTTAGTTATCTTTTTAAGCTGTGTCCCTCAACAGACAATCAAGAAAAGTATTTTACGGTGAGTACAAATATCCTATTTTCTCTAAGTCCACTGTGGGACGCAGCTCCCTCCCCTTATATGCTATCGTTCTTTTTTTTTTTTTGGAGTTCTTGCTACAACTGGCCAGGTACGTGTGGTTATAGCCTCAAGAGGGCTTACCTTCAGTTTTCTATTTGCCTAGTGTCCATTTCTCCTGTAGGCGACAGTGTAAATCTAGGTTGCTTAATTATCAAACTATGTCCCTCAACGAACTCCCAAAAAAAGATTTTACGATTAGTATAAAAATCCTATTTTATTTATTTTTTCTCCTGAACTGCTATTTGTCTGGCTGTTATACTGAGACACTGACTTGAAAACTATATTTAATTTAGACAAGTCAGAAGTCCTAAGTCCTTATCTACGTACTTGTTCTGGTTCCTTGACAGAGTATAGACGCAAGTGGGTCTGAATGGCAGCCTGGTAACTTTGCATTTTTATAGCAAGGACAGCCTCCATGTTCCTGTCATGACAGGTTTCCTTTAAGTACAATAAATGTTCATGTGGTTGGGGAGCAGAATAGCACATTTGTCTAATAAAGCAAATACTACATATTTCTTTAAAAGCAGGTTTGTACATATGTGATTACAAACTTTACCCAGCCAGTCATTTAATTATAACACTAATGCCTATTAATCTACAAATGTTGTAATGTCATAGATTTTCTTTAAAATATGGCATGATAAATGGTATACATTAGTTGATTTAAAGTTAATATATGTAATTATTTTGATCTGTGTTGGTTTGTGTAATGAATTCTGTTACCTATTATTTTATATCTGTAAAATCCTCATCATACCTGTAATGTAAATTGTAATGTAGCCATTTAGTCATTTTGAATATGTTATAAATTCTAGGTTGATGGTAAATCTTACTCAGCCAGCTCTTCTGTGTTTTGGGAAAGTTCCTCAGGATCCCACCTTCCGCCATTATTATTTGCAGGTGGTGTCCTATTTGCAGGCATATAAAGAGGTGAGTTCATATGTCAATGTAGCCTAAAGCCCAACTCTGGGCTAAAAAATGTTTTATATTTTTTTTTGAAGACCCAGCTGAGGTATAAAAATGAAGTTTTTTACGGCAATAATCCATTTCAATCTGAAGCTGTGCCACCAATCCCACCCTCCTGTAATTTGTATGTGTAGCCTGAGAACATCCTCTGGAGCGTTTGGAGTGCAGTTAAAAGTTGCATGGAAGCATAAAATGGAATTGGTTGTGTGATCCATCATTTGTACCATTCATACAGTGTCTTTGCATTAAATGACTGCTTGCTGCAGCTATGGTGTGTCCTCAGGGTGCTAATAAAGGTTTACTTTAAGTACGGTAGTACATATTTTATGATGCTAAAAACACATTGAACACCATGTATTTGACGAAAATGTATGAACACCACTTTCCTTAAAAAATTTCCGTTTCCCTTTTATTAGGCATTTGCAAATGAGAGACTCTTTGTAGTGTTGAGTGAAAAGCTCTATGATTTGCTGCAGATGGTAAGAATTCCTACATCAGCTATCAAATGTCTTTTTTTTTTTTAAGTTCATATGAAGATCTATCAATGCAAAAGTTTTTTTTGTTTTTCTCATTAACCTCTTCATGAACAGAGGTCATTGAAGTCTGGATGCCCAGATTGTATGTAGCAGTTTCAGTATACATTATTTAAGGGTGATTTAAATTGCCTACCTAAAATAGGTTTTTTAAACTAGTCCCAAAATACTTTTCTTGAAATCCAATGGAGGGACACAGAAAGCCCTCACTATCGGGTTATACTGCTACCGTATCTGCATTAGGTTATGGCCCTGAGAAAAACAAAACTGGAGGGCAGCCCAGGATAACCCCTCCTACTACCAGCATGTCTCAGTTTTGTAGCAAAGCAGTACCGAGAGCATGATCATTAACACAAAGGGGTGTAGGGACCACTCTCCCATGTGAGAAAGTCTGCCCAGGAAAAGGGACTGCCTTGATACAGGCTACCATCAAACCCTGGATTCTTATGCAAAAGCAGAGAGTCAGATGACTCTTGGACTAAAGAGCATGAGTCTGAAGTTTCTCCTAAGAGAAAAAAAGTCTGGCCTAAATTGTGTCTAGAACTAAACACGGATAATCCAAATCATTTCACTGCACCGATTTCTAAAGTATCAGGATCTATCCAAGTTGTAATTTCTGGGCAGTCAAGGCTCCCGGTGCTCAGCCTAATCTGTCTACACAGTGTGTTGTCAGCCATAGGGAAAGCTTTGAGGTAGTGCCAATAGCTCTGGACCTGTTCTGCTACCAGAATGGAGTCTGGAAAGTGCCTTTTCCAGAACCCAGTGTCCGAAGGTCACTTACAGGCTAGTCCTGCAATGTCCAGGTGCAGTGGAGTCCAGTTATGGCCCTCCAAAACCCAGGCAAAGGACAGCTGCACTGGATAGCTGCACCGAAGAGACCAGTTCTAGCTGCACTCTAGAGAAAAGTCTTCATTGAAGAAAATATGTTGAACAATGTTGAAAAATGATGCTAGCAAAATTTAAGTTAGACTTTTCCCAGGAGAGCAGTAATAAGATGTCCATCCTCCTAGGACACTAGCAATAAACTAGGGTATTCAGGTAGTAGGAAGGGACATCTTGGGCTGGCCTACAGTTTTTTGTTTGCTTGTCTCCCATCCTCCTGTGGGTAGCGGTATGACCCAAAGGTGATTGACTTCTGTGTTCCTCAATGGATGGGGAAAAAAACAAGGTAAAAATACTTTCTAATAGGCATATAAGGCTTTTAACTGGTACAAAGTTTTAATAAGCACCTTGCTCATATTTTTAAATGTAAGCAGAGAAATGGTTCATAGTGGAAAAAAAATAATGCGTTTATAGTATTAATACATAGGTTTTTTTTTAATGAGTTTTGTAATGGTTTTTAACACTGCTTCATTCTCTGTGCACAGTGAGTACGGAAAGATATAGAGCAAGGGGGTTGAAAATGAATTTGATTTTAACCTTTGCTTTTCATAGGACTGGGAGCAGCGTGAAGAAGAACATAACTTATTAATTGAAAGGGTTCTTCTTCTGGTGCGCAATATCCTTCATGTGCCTCCTGACCCAGATGAAGAAAAGGTAGTAATCACCCTTTTAGGGCTTTTTAATTTAAATATAAATGCTAGGAACTATATTTGGATGTATACAATATGGAGAAAAGTATGGTGTTTACAGCAACTACTAAATTGGTGGATACTTCATGTTTAAGGGCCCATGTACATCTATGCACCTGAAGGAGCGCCTGTGTTAATGGCTCCCCAGCACATTAAGGCAAATCACCATAGTCTGTTGCCTCAAAAATGTTGGCACTTCCGATTTTTGTGAAGTTTTGGTACCATATCAGCCCATTATTTGTAATGGGATATCTTTTGCAATGCATGTTAACCCGTGACATAATGTACGTTAACACACGTGCATTATTGCCCCCACACAAATGTTAATGAGCACTGACGTGTTCCTATGGTCAGTGCACGCACCTGTGTCTTAATAATATAATAGTTTAATTTCCATTGAACGCCAACTGTGTAAAGTTTGTATGTATGAAGAGGAATAAAGTTATTCACTCACCATGAAAACCGTCCACATTTCAGTGGATGAACAGAGATTGCTGGTTGGCTGCAAGATGCATTTTACCAGTCTGAGATGTGCTTCATTGGTTGCTATATGTCCTCAACTTTATGAACATTTACTGTATGTTCTACCCAGTCATAGCAGTCTGTCTTCACTGCAGCCTGATATACCAGGTTCTGAATCCTAAAGCTTGAGACACCAAGTTGAAGTAGGCCTGTAATGGTATCTATAAAATAGAACTCCTTTAAAAAAGTAGTACAATTCTATAATGTTCCACTAACAACTTTATAAAATATTCTTCTGCTAATTTCTCACTAGGAAAATACTGGCATGCTAAACCACCTGTGTCTCTTAGGGCCTCACTTGCTGAGACAGATACTTTGTTCCTGTTAGATTCTTAATGTATTCTGCATATGGTAAATGCAGCAGAAGAACTGGACACTTCCCAGAATGCATTTTCTGTAGTAGAAGTAAGGATCTAAGCTGTGCGGGAATAGAGCCTAGATCTATTACTGGGTAATCTTTCTTCTATAGTTCTGTATAAATAAAAGGAAAAGCAGGTGTTCAGTGCAAAATATATAATCTACACACACACACTGTATATGATATTGTGGAAATCTTACATTGTGGTGGACACATTGCTTGTGTGCTCTTTTCCAGGGTGTTGATGATGATGCCAGCGTTCATGATAGAGTGCTGTGGGCAATCCACATGAGTGGAATGGATGACCTTGTGAAGTTTTTGGCTAGCTCTGAAACTGAGCAGCAATGGAGTATGCATGTGCTGGAAACTGTGTCACTCATGTTCAGAGATCAGGTAAGTGCCTGCCAGATTCCTCTGTTACATTAGGAAGTAGACATTGACAATGCCTGTTCACTCTCTCAGTAAAAAGAACATGTTTCTAATTTTGGTAGTCAAACATTTTCAGCTAACTAGATATTCTTGATAGTTACAAAATGCGTGTCAATTAAATTGTCCCTGATTTATTATAACTGTGAACGCATCTCTACAAATCCAGACTGTAAACAGGGAAAATGATGATGCTTCTAATTAGACTTTAAATGCTGTATTGTTTTTGTGCTGCAAGATGTGACTGATTGCTTGTCAGTGGTGACAGGATTGCATCCCTAACGTCTTAAATGGCTGCCTCTATAATTCTGTAAACTCCCCAAATATTCCAATGTACAGTATTATTTTCTTTTACAAAGTGCTTGTTATAACATGTATTATAGTGCTACTAGCATTTTGTTTTAACTAAATATGATTTTGGCCCTTTAGAATGCAGAACACTTGTCATCAACTGGCCAGGCTCGCTCCTCTGCAGAAAGAGTGACAGAAATGAAAGAACTGGAGATCCTCCGTCAGAGGGAAATGGCAGAGAAAAAGAACAGAGTCTTTCAGCGTGGCACACGGTGAGACTTTACAATATTAAATCCATTGAGAATAGGTCACCTCTGTTACTATAATGGGCTTAAAGAAATCAAAGCAAAGACTGCTTTTGTGAGATATTGACAGTCTTAAAGTTAGATTTTTCGGCGGTTTAGGGGGCAAACTCCCGTTATGAACACTGCCCACCTCACAATTTATGTCTTTGCCAAGCTCCATTTGACTTACTTAAAAGGTCTGTCCTGACTGATGCAGAATCTATTTACTGAAATGTAGTGAGGATGTTCCTGTTGCTCAAGAACATTTAATGTCTAGTATCTTTTGTCTAGAATCATTTCTGTAAAAGGATGAGATTCCTAATTCTCGGGTAGGAGAACTAAGCAAACATTAATGCAAATATGTTGTTGCCTGTTTTTGTAAAATACCGGCTTTTATATGGTTGTCTGTTTTCAATGCAATCAGTTATTTACCAAATGTGCATTTCATTAGTTTTAGTGCAAATTCACACCAGATGCATTATGGCTGTTTTTTTGCACTTTTTTTTTTCTCAGTGCAGTGTTGTGCAATGTGGTACAATTTCACCATGCTCTGGCTGCAGATACACAAATGTAATTTGTGACATTTCAATAAAGTCAAAAAAGCAAACATACATACATACATACATACATACATACATACATACATGCATCAGGGCATTTCCACTATTTCTCTCGCCACACACCAGCGGCCATGCGTTTAGCACACCTTACTGGTGTGAATCCACTGTTAATGGGTCCCATGACCTGTTTTATATTCATAAAGGCAAGAATGGATTTGCATGGTACATGCCAGTGAAGATTACTTTGGTGATTCTGTATGATGCAGGGCTGCACTTGGGTTATCTTATTTCTTCTCTTCACACTCGTTCCTGCGGTAAAGTGATATGTGTAGACGTGCTACAGGGTCCACAGATCTTCATAGTTGAATTCTGACCAGTGTGGCAATAGCAGTCAATAAATACTTCCATAAAGTTGAGTACTAAGTACTCAAAGTACTAAAGCCTCAAAGTTTATAACAGTAGCACATCTGTATAGATTATTCTAACACAATAGATTAACAATTTCTTCCCACAAAGCACAAAAACGCTTACTTTTCTGTGTGTTTTATGCCGCATTCTTCAGGTTCCTTTTGAACCACACACTCCTAATGTCACCAGTTAGAAATCATGGAAATACATGTCCCATTTTTTGTGCTACTGCGCATGCGTGCCCCTGCAATAAAATAAAAAAACTTGCTGAACAAGGAAATGCTGCCTACACCTACACACACAGTCAGCATGGACTACACACACACACAAACCATGCCCTGTGCTTCTCCTCCAAGGGAAGTGATTGAAAAGCAGCAAAGCTTCGGAAGCTGCTTGTCAATCACTTTTCTTGGAGAAGGAGCAGAGGGTGTGTCTTTTCTGGCTGTCTATGCATGCCTGCACAGGCAGCATCATCACGTTGCATAGTAGTTAGGTGCCGGGATCGCGCACAAGAGGGTAGCTCCATAGTACCCTGGAAGTGAAAACAGTCACCCTGAAACGGAACACGGAAGTGGAGGCAGCGCAAAGGGGGCCAGCTGAATGGGGAGGGAATTACCACTTCACTACCACAAACATCCACAGTAGGTCTTCACTTACTTGTGTATATAAATAATTCAACTTTAATATCCCTTTTAAAGAGGTTTGTTTTCTGTTTCCAGGCATTCCCGATTTGGTGGCTCCTATATTATTCAGGGTTTGAAGTCAATTGGGGATAAAGATATAATATATCACAAAGGGCTTCATAATGTAAGTGTCAACTTGGATCATTTTGCTTCTAAATTCTACACTTTGCATGTGTCTGTTGATAGAAAAGTAGTGTGTACTTTGATTTGACTTTTATTTACTACTGATAGGGTGGCCATACACCATGAGATTCTTCTCACAAAAATGACTAGATTTCCCCATCAATGCCAAAAAATGTGGATGGTAGAAGTTTCCCTGTTTGGTACTGTATTATGTCAGCCTGCGCCTGATTCGCTGCAGTCACTGTTCAGCTGACAATTTTCCACCTGGCTCCGTTTGACAAAATTCAGTTGAAAAATGTACTTTTATCAAGCCGGGTGATGCCTGCAGGGCTACCCACAAATTGAATTTTGGCTGATTCAGTAGAAAATAGAGGACATTCGATCTATACAGGGCCACACTATTTTCATTTTCGTTTTTTCCTGCTTTATTCTCGATTTATCATCCTGTTTATTGTTCTAATGTGCAGATAACTGGTGGTACACATTGACCTTTAAATAGGTTCTGTCATCTTTTTGAGCTTCACAGGGTCCAGAAGGAGACAAAAAATTTTAAGATTGGTTGTGCTTCAGCAAAAGTGTTAACTTTAGATGCCCTGAGATGTTTACATTAAATTAACCTATAATTAAGTTGAAACTTTACATAAATCAGAGGGACAAATGTCAGCATTACCAAATTATTATTTTAATAAAAATGAAATTTCTTAATCATACATTACAGGACACATGATGGCAATTCTGAAACCATAGGTTATGCTGCAACATTCAGAAGATTGGACACTGGCAAAACAAAGCTGTAATGACAGCCTAGTATATCCCACTCCCAGAAAGCCTACATTTTTGGCTGGTGTCCATAGGAGAATGGATTCTCAGCTGTGAGAGAAACAAACCCCTTTTTCCCATTTTTTTTTTTTTTGTTTTTTTTTTGTTTTTCTTCCCAAGATCTGTCTTCCTGCAACTTTTCTTCAACAAGCCGCAGAGCTACTAAGGCTGCCTCTTGCAGCTTCTGGATTGGTCACTCCTGAGCTTTGCCCTGTGGACCATAACCAAACTGCACCAAGATGAAGATGGGGAGGCTGGCCTGTAATGTTCCCTCTGAGCAATGATCCTGTATCCAGATGTTTACCTAGGCAACACGTTCTCTTAGCCCAGCATTTTTCAACTTTTTTTTTTTTTTTTAGTCACGGCACCCTTTAAAAGTATGTCAAATCTCAAACACCCCAGTCTAAAATGTAAAAACCGTAAATGTAAAAGACAAGCTATGGTCCCTCTGAAATCTATACCTGACCGTTATTCGATATTGGGGTCTGGTGTGGATTTAAAAAAAAAAAAGTGGGGTTCCACCCTTCACATCAGAGTCCTGCCCCTTCACGTTTGGAACCCCCTTCACATCAGGTGCCCCCTTGCCAACATCTCCTCAAAGGCAGCCTGACCTTCATGCTGTTCTCGCACAGCTCCTTTCTTAAGGGATCATAGATATTGTCCCGGTAGAGGGAGCCCAGGGTTTACAATCTCCAAGGCAAAAGGAGGTATTCACCTCCCATACAGGAACGAAAGATTCCTTCAGGTTCAAAAATTCTGCATAGAATGTGCCAGGTCAGGCAGTCTTTCCATTTACCCAGAAGGTTTTATGGTCTCTGTGGACAAGAAGGATGCTTGCTTATGCATTAATGCTACCTGCGTTTTGCTGTGGGCACATAACATTACCAATTTGCTGCCCTTTCCTGTCCACTGCACTGCACTTCTCTCTTTGCTTTGCTCTAAGGCTCTTGTCGTGGGATATTTGGAGGATCTGCTAAAGGAACAGTCGGCGCAGGCTCTCATCAGCCAATGTATGTCAAACGGTGTCGGCCCTGCAGAGATTCAGTTAGATTCTGAATATCCAGAAATCAGCGATGGATGTGACTTATTGCTTAGAGTGTTTGGGCCTAATCTGGGGCATGGCCCTCTTTAGGGTCTTCCTTCCCCCCAGCCACAAGTCCAGGCTGTCCACTCCCACGCTCAGGACATGCAGTCCAGAAGCTGCCCAACTATACATTTTTTTCCTGAGAGTTCTAGGCCTAATGGTGACCTCCTTCGAGGCAGTCCCATATGACAAGTTTTGTTCTAAACAGATGCAACTCAACATTCTGGCAGTGTTGGACAAGCAGGCTCAGTCCCTGGATTCGCCCCATGCACCTGACCAGCAAGACCAGGCTCACCTTGGCGTAGTGGATTTATATTCCGCCACTGGAATCTGAGAAACAGTTTCTCCCGATAGTCTGGAAGGTGTTCACAATGGAAGCTAGTCTATCGGGCTGGGGAGGAGTCCTCCATACATGCTCCATACAGGGGACTTGGTCCTTGGTAGAAGCTCCACTCCCACTCATTTTTCTGAAGATAGGGGAAGTTTGATTGGTTTCTTGCCAGGACCAAGGATGTTTGGGCCTTTGCAGTAGATTCCCTGGTGACTCCGTGGGATCAGTTTCACCTGATCTACACCTTTCCCTTGCTGTAGCTCCTTCAACAGCTGCTCCATAGAAACGAGATGGAAGGCATTCCAGTGATTATCGATGGACTGAACTGACCCAGGAGGATGTGGTCCTGTGGGGCCTCCTGGATCTGTCACAAGGGTCGCTCTACCATCCTGCCTTTTAGTCACTGACTTATAATGGCTTGGCTATTGAGGCCCTCATCTTAAGGGATCGGATTTGGCATCCGTTTCCATTTAAAGTCTATCATCGCATTTGGAAGTTGAAGTTCGCTTGGTGCGAGGCAAGGAAATTCCATCCCAGGAATTTTCTCTTTGGGACCAATTCTGTCTTTCTCCAGTCTGGACTGGACCAGCATTTAGCCTTGAGCTACAATCAAGGGTTCTTTTTCTAGAGGCCGTTTGCCTCCCACTGTTTAGTGAAGGCCTTTGTGCAGGGTGTCACTCACATTGTTACTCCTGTATGTTCCCCTGTGACTTCAGAGGACCTGGTCATGAGCCTATTAGGGATACTACTCTGTCTAACCTCACAAGGTTGCCTTCCCCATTGCCATTACTTTCTGCAAGGCAAGTTTCTGAAGTGCTAGCCTTGCCCCGTAGGGAACGCTTTATTGTGTCCACAAGGAAAAGGTTTTTAAGGCTTCCCAAGGTGATTTTTTTTCCCCCTTAACAAAAACATTGTTTTACCATTTCTCTTTTCCTGCACCTAAACATTGTAAAGGAGATTTCCCTCCATTGTCATGATGTGGTAGGGTACTCTTCATGTTTATCTCTATATATTTAGAGCTTAGGTCCAACTCTCTATTTGCCATTCCTGGAGGTCCCCGCAGGGGTCAGCCGTCTTCTTGTTCCACTGTTGCTAGGTGGGTTTGGCAAACATTTGTCCAAGCTTATGACCTCAGGAGTCAGATTACCCTTTTTCGAGTCAGGGCACACTCCACTAGATCCCTTAGTTTTTCCTGGGCTTTTCTGCATCAAGCTTCAGTTTCCTGGGTGGATGTTCAGGTCTCAGCAGATGCCTGCTTCACTTGTATGGTCTTCAAGCAGCACTGTAGTTTGTGGGGCACCATCTGTTCCTTGTTTTTTTTGGGTGCCCGTTAGCTGATTGTTTTGCTGTGTTGTCCATCCCTCAGTAGGTCTGCTTTATGTCCTGTGGTTTTAGAATTACCATCCCTGTGTCCTGTAATAATTAAGCAAAAAGGGATTTTGTCTTACCTGCAAAACCCTTTTTCTGGAGTACATTGTAGGACACATGTCCCTCCCCTCTGTTTCTTATGTACTCCCATCCTTGCTTGCTACAAAACTTAGGCTTGCTGGGGTGAGATGGGTTTTTACTGGGCTGTCCTTACAGCTTTGCTTTGCCAGCTCTCATGCTAGCACAAGTGGTGGCAGCCATTACTGAAGGCAGTCTGCTTTTAATCAACCATGACATAGGAGGCCCAAAAGGTTTGTCCAAATTATACAAAAGTATATACTATTCTACTAATATTATACAAAAAATGAATAAAATCTATAAACGGAAACACATATTGAATGCATTAACACAGCGTCAAAGGCTGTTTACATTAACAGGCTGGTACATTAGGTACCAGCCTGTAATACTCCATTTTTCAGCTTTCAGTATTACGATGGTTTGACTAACGGGTAGAGCTTTCCTTTGACAATATTTAATAACCACTGGGTTTTTTATTTTTTGCTACAGAAAGGGAAAAAAAAAGACCAAAAATGATGGGGGAAAAAAACAGTTTCCCTTATTTTCTGTAAAAATTGTCAGAACAGTATGAACACCCCTGAAATTACCCCTTTTTAGAAAGTAGACACCCCACAAATATTGGGGGAAATGAAGAAACATGCTGGTATTGGGGAGGTGAAAATGTGATGCACTAGAAACGGAACATCCAATCATACACAGAGGGATCAGGAGGTAATGAATGGGTCAGATAAACAGTGGGAGGATGGAGATGATGGGGTTAATGAGCAGGTTTGCAGGATAATTGAGATGAATTGTTAGTATACAAGTCCCAATGAGAGACAGGCTGGAGCTTAGATGTGTAGTAAAGGAGGGGGGTGGGGGGTCAGTGGGTTAAAAAAAAATGATCTCGCGTAAGCTTTCTCAGTGGGCGAAACAGCTGGCTGCAGGCTTTTTGATACAGCGGCATTTCCAATAGTGGTGGGTAAATAATAGTTCACCACTCTGCTGTTTATAAAGGTACTGTGGTAGTAAAGCAGTGGTGCTAATCTTTTACATGTACATCAAAAAAATAGACCACACTGGTTCCCCTTTTTAAGAATTTTTACGTTGTATAGAAAGCTTTTTTTCTCTCAATGTTATAGCAAGTAATCATATTGTAATGTTTGCTGTATTTTGACAGTATAAAAATTATACTCACGATCTTGGGAAAGAACTGAAAAGGGTCCCCAAAAGAAAGCTGCAAGCCAAGGACACAGAGCTCCGTCACCGTTCTGCCCTCAATGTGCGTCTCTTCCTCAAGGAGTTTTGCAACGACTTCCTGGAAAACTGTTATAACAGACTTATGTACATTGTGAAGGTGAGAATTGATTATCTTGGCCTGTGTGATTCTCTTAACTTTTTTAGGATGAGATTATTTGGGGCATTGTTTATTCAGCCAAGATGTAGCTACATAATCAATGTATCACAGTGGTACCAAATGCAGCTACCATCCTTATGAACCCTAAAGCATTGGTCCAGGTTTTTGTTTTATTATTTCCTTACAGAATCAAGAATGTGGGTCTCAGTTAAAAGAAAATGTGTCCTGAAAAAAGCATGGGTGCTGCCATTGCTGAACTCTTAAAAATGCTATTTTTTTGTAGCAACTCTGACCCCCTTGATTAAAAAAAATGCATAAGTGACCTAGAACTGCTGTGTGAAAAGATACTTCTGACTTTACTGATCTGCTAATTTCTTCTAGCTAATTAACACAAAGTTTTCAAGCCAGTGGGTCTGTAGGATAGCCAGGAAACTAGCATTTCAGAATTCAGCAATGGCAGTCCCCAATGTGCAGTTTCAGATTTCCTTCTAAAAATTATAGTTTGCCGGCTGGTGTGCTGATCCTCTGAGTTCCATTTTAATTACTCATCGGCCCAGAATAAGTACAGCCTTTGGCCTTCTCCATACTTGTTCTGGGTCATTCGAAGAACTAGTCATTTTAAAACAAAAATGACAGGTTTCCTTCTTTTGAGGAACCCAAATCAATAGAGAGAAACCTACACAAATAGGGGGCAAGGATAACCAACTCCACACAGTGTGTTGAGACTTGAACTCAGGACTTCAGTGTCACATGAACACCGTGCTAACCACTAATTCACCATTTTGTCCAGCTACTTCTGTTTTATGCACAGTTACCAACATTCAATGTATGATTTGTTGGAATCCCTCCTTTAGGATCACCTAATTCGGGAGAAGGCTCAGCAGCACGATGAGACATATTACTTGTGGTCTATGGCTTTCTTTATGGCCTTCAATAGACTCTTCCGTTTTCGACCAGAGCTTGTGTCTGAAACAGTTAGCGTAAGAACATTCCATTTCATTGAGCAAAACCTCACCAACTACTATGAGATGATGCTGGCAGATAAAAAAGAGGCTACCTCCTGGGCACGCAGGTAGGATTCCTTTTTGTTTTTTCAGTGAATAGTAAGTCATCACTATTTAAATGCACTCTATCTAAAAAGATGTTACTTGCAGCAGCTGTGATTTATTTTTTTCCTTTACTTTTTGAAGGTAAGAGTTATGTACAAACTGCTACTAAAATAGTTATAAAAAAAGTAATGGGGGGTTGGGTTTGTTGTATTTTCAGCAATCACATATTTTAGTGCTATATTTACCTTAAAGTCACCCTGTTGCTAGCTGAAGGACGCAGACTAGGAGCACCCTGTAAAAGTGAAGAAATACCTTCATTCCTGGTGGGCAGTGACTCGATCTTTGCTCTGTTGCAGATCTAAAGCTGCCACTGCTGTCCAGCACTTCTGAATGTGTTGGATCCCTGCCTGTTTGTTATACATGTGTGTGTACAATATGTATTTATGGTTTGGTCTTTACTAGCATCTTATTGTTTTCTTATTGGAGTGTAAAAATCATCATTGGCAATTAAAGGAGAACTATGGGGTCAGTGCTTTTCCCCATAGTTCTCCTAAGGGTCACGGGAGGACACAAACTAGCATCCTCCCTTCACCCAGCTACAGCGTCCTCCCGTCACCCAGCTACAGCTCGCGGTATACTGAAACGCAGCAGCCGGAGCGGATCCCTACATTTCTGTCTGGATCCACCCAGCTGCGTGAGTAACAGCTGGCTCTGCCTATCTAAAGGGCCAGCTGTACCCACCCGTCCGTTCCGCCAGTCAGCGCTGGAGGATCGGACAGTTGAGGGGGGAATCCCTGCAGGGCGCCGTGAGTGACTGTCACGGCTCTCTGCAGGGATAGATCGAGAAGCGAGCGCGCAACGCTATGTGTTTGCTCATTTCCCGATCTATTGAGCCGACCTGTGACAGTTTCATTGTCACAGGTCAGCTCGAACTATGAGTGAGGCAGAGTGATTTTCACTCGCCTCATAGTTCTCCTTTTAAAGTGACATTAAACCCTCAGATTTTTTAACATAAACCAATACTGTAATGTGCGCCTTACTGTAATCCATGGTTGTTTCCCTTCTCTTTGCTGCTCTTCCTTTTAAATCCTCATGTCTTCTCATGCTGGGGGAGAACTTCCCTTTTCAGCTCAGGGCCTCTTCCTGTAGTGCTTGCTCGGGTTACAAGCCTATACAAACCTATACACAGACACCATGTATCCATTCCTGAGACAAGGCAGTCTGCTGCAAAACAGAAGTTCTGCAGAGCATGAGAACAGATACAGATTTAAAAGGAAGAGCAGCAAAGAGAAGGGAAACAACCATGGATTACAGTATTGTTTTATGTTAAAAAATGTAGGGTTTAATGTCACTTTAAGAATTGCTCAGTCAGTATTGTAGGTACCATTCACAGCTTACAATCTGTAAAGGCGGTACTCATTTCTAAAACCCCTGTTAAGGTTTTTTACTTTTATATGGTTCTAATTATAAAAAAAATTACATGTTTTAATTCTATCCTATTTGTGTAATTTTTTGGTGTTAATTATTTGAATGTGTGTTTTGCTTCATAATTGGCTGTGCTTAGAAGCATTGAATTAAATACTAACAGACTTGAAAAATCTTGGTAATAAAAACAGAATTTATAAAACAAGAAATACTAACAGACTCGTTTGCCATCTGTTTGACTATGTTTTAAATCATTGTTGATATGTGTTTTGTCAATGCAGAATGCATCTTGCCTTAAAAGCTTATCAAGAACTTCTCACTACCATCAATGAAATGGATCATTCTAAGGATGAATCTGTGCGAGAAAGCAGCAAAGTTATTAAAAGTGAGTTATGTTTCATTTTCATGACTCCTAATTTATATTGTTTTTTTTATCCTAAACATATTTGTTTTACAGTCTGAAGACTGTAGCTATAAATCTTTTCCTATGTTTGTATCCTCAGATAATATATTCTATGTGATGGAATATCGAGAGCTATTTCTTGCACTGTTTAGAAAATTTGATGAAACAAAACAGCCACATTCATTCCTAAAAGATTTGGTAGAAACAACCCATTTGTTCTTGAAGATGTTGGAAAGGTTTTGCAAAGGAAAAAGATCCATAATGGTCCAGGTAAAATCCACCATAAATGTAGCATGTAAAATATATTAACTACATTAAAATTCTTTCTTTTAGGTGTGTTAATCTGGCCAGTACATTTCTCTTCCATTCATTGAAGAACACAGGCGGTTCCTTAATATCTATACCAATGGGCAGGGCTTGAAAAATGTTATTATAAAACATTTATTCTTACCCATATTTTTAGTAAAACATAAAAGTCGGGGTGACGTCGGGTAAATAGACACCAAACATGTCAAGCCTTAAAATTGCGTGCGCCCGCAAAATTGCAAAAAACGCCCATAGGCGACGATTAAAACGCTTTTACTGTTCATCAGTTTAGTGTTATCAGTGATTAAAGGAGAACTATGGGGTTAGGGCTTTTCCCCATAGTTCTCCTTAGGGTAATGGGAGGACCCAAACTAACTGTTTTCAGATTGATGGCTGGGCTTGATTGTGGAGAAATTGGTACAGGAGGTGACTTCTTCTGGTTAGGAATCGAATTTCAGTCTCGTCCTCCAGAGCTTTTTATCACTTCCAATCTGCACCTTTCTCCACAACGTCTGGCAGATCTGCATTATGCACTTTGGGTCTTACTTGATCAGGGGGTGATTGTCACGGTGCCTTCCTCTGAAAGATTCATGGGCTTTTATACCAATCTGTTCACTGTCCCCAAAGATGGGGTAGCAATGTTCGACCTATATTGGATCTTTGCCACTGGTCTTGTCATCCCGAGGGACAATCCAAACCGCGTGCAGTGGTCTACGTCAATCATCAGAGGTCAGCTCTGCAGTAATGCTGGAGGTGGCTTGGATCCTGTCTTGGTCAGAAGCTTGCGTTCCGGCTCTGTCCTCTGTTATCGTTCAAGAGGCGAAAACTGGCAGGCGGATTATCTGGATTACCGTCAAGGTCTGGATCGGGGAGAGGTCCTTTCACTAGGATGTGTTTTCATCAGATTTGTCTTAGGTGGGGCTTGCCAGACATGGGTCTCCTGACTTCCAGCAAAACAAATGGCCAACTCCAACTCATAACCAGCTTTAAACCAAGGTGCACATGGAAGGACTTTAAATAGTACAACAGCAAAAAGTTTCCAAGCACACTCACCAGCCAGCATGCAAAAAAAACCTGTCTAACTGCTAAGGGTAAAAACTGAGGTTTTAGATGCACGTCTTCTGCAGAATATGGGAAAGCCGCACTGCCTCATCAAGGCTCCTCTGTGTAGTGTGGTCCTAACTCTAACCTATGGCAGTCTCCATCTTGGAGCACATGTAGCAAACGAGGGGCGTTGACGAGGCAGTGTGGCTTTCACATATTCTGCAGAAGACGTGTACCTAAAACCTCTGTTTTTAACCTTAGCGATTAGACAGGTTTTTTTGCATGCTGGCTGGTGAGTGTGCTGGGAAACCTTTTGCTGTTCTCCTGACTTTCAGACTCAATCGGAAGGTGCCGAGGTTTGTGGCCAGGACTCGCGATACATTGGCAGCAGCAGTGGCACCGTGGGGCAGGTTTTCTCTGACATGGATTTCCCCCTTTTTATAGCTTCTTCCTCTTCTGTTGCAGAAAATAGAGTTGGAAGGCATTTCGGTGATTCTGGTGGCTTCAGATTGACCACAATGAGCCTGGTACGCAGACGTTGTTTATCTTCTCGCAAACGCCCTCTTCTTTCACAGTGCCCAGTATTTTATCCTGCTTTACAGTCTTTGGCTTTGACAGCATGGCTGTTGAAAGCAAGGTGCATAAAGATAGAGCTCTTCACTCTGTGGTGGTCTTCACTATGCTGGGTCTTGTAAATTCAGTTCTCTGTGAATTTACTATCGTACATGGAAGGCTTACTTTCCATGGTGTGAGTCCCATGCTTTTCATCCTCGTTGGTTCTCTACTGCTAGGGTTTTGTCGTTTCTTCCACAAGGGGTGGATCATTGTATAGCACTGAGCACTGTCAAGGAGGGGCAGGTGTCCACCTTCGCAGTCCTTTTTCAGTGTCCCCTGGCCACACAGTTTGTACTTCATTTAGGGTGTTACTCGGGTGGCACCTCCTGTTAAACCGCCTTTGCTGCTGTATCTGCTTTACAGAACTCTCTGTTTGAGAATATTTGGGATATACCTTTGTTGACCGAGCAGAAGTGATCGCCACCAAAAAGGCTACCTTCTTAGACACGGTGTGTGTCTGAGTTGGCAGCATTGTCCTGTGTAAAACCCTTTTTGGTTCTTCATCGGGACAAGGTCGTTCTTCAAGCTTGCCTGTCTTTTTTGCCGAAGGTGGTAATGTCTTTCCATTTGAAGAAGGACATTGTCCTACCATCTTTTATGTTCTAAGCCTTCTCATCCAAAGGAGGTGGCTCTTCATTCTTTGGATGTGGTAAGGGCTATTTGGGTCTTTCTGGTCGTTACATAATCCATTCGGAAAACTGATTCATTGTTCATGGTCCCAGGAAGGGACAGGCTGCCTTGTCGGCCACTATATCCAGGTGGGATTCATCAGACTGTGGTTCGGGCTTATGTTAGTAAGGGTCAGGAACCTCCTTTTTGGGTCACTGCTCATTCTACCTGAGCGTTGAGGGCTTTTCATCACCAGGCATCTGTTACCCGAGTTTGTAAGGCCACTACATGGTATTCTGTCCACACTTTCTCTAAGTTCTATAGGGTGGATGTTGTGGCATCTGCAGATGCATGTGTTGGCTGCAAGGTCTTGTATTACGTGGCGTGAGCGTCTCATTCGGTTGTGGGTATGTTGTGTTCTGTTTAGCCCACCCTCTATTGTCACTACTTTGCCATGTCCCATGAGTATAGATCCCAAGGATCTGGCTTTTTCCTTCAATGAACGGAAGAGAAAATAGGATTTTTGTACTCAACATAAAATTATTTTCTCTGCGTTCATTGAAGGACACAGCACCTGCCATCTTGATGGCTTAGTGTGTTGCTGTTCGTTTACTGCTTGCTACTAATGGAGTTTATTGTTGCAGTAAGGTGGTGTGGCCATCAGCAGGGACTGCCCCTGGGCTGTTTTGGGTTTTTATGCTTAGCGGTGGCTGTATCCTTCAATGAATGCAGAGAAAAAGATTTTACGACTACAAAAATCCTGTTTTTTCAGCTTCCATTAACAGACCAAGCTGTCCAGCAAAAGTGTCAGAGGGTTGAGACAAACTATGTATTTAACACTGACAGAGGTGCTTACAATGGTCCACATTTATCCATTTAAGTAAAACTTTATCCCAAAAAGAAAAAAAACTGTTGCTGCAACTGGTTAAAAAGTGTGAACTGGAGTTTGGGTTTAATTTGTTAGTCGTGTCCATCTAAATCTGCTAGTGCATCCAACACTATCCTGTCAACAGGGTGACAATGCTGCTGTCCAAGGGTGGCTCCGTTACTCCGCCAAAGAGTGGAGACACACTTCCTATCTTAGGGTGAAACTGGCTGAATCACCAGAAGAAAAGCCTAAACCATGAAAACTAATGCAGCCACCACATTTCACAATTGAGTTGCCATGGTTCACCCTCCTTAGCTAGTATGCAAAAAAATCATATTTCAGATGATGTATGGTCCCTCTTTACACTACGTTGCTTTACAGCCAAGCTGGGCTTTCCCAAATATCTGCTATGGGCTTGTTACATCTCCACACAGACTCTGGGCAAATTTTTTTTATTAACACTGCCCAGCACAGTGTTAATTGCACTTTATCTGAGGTCTGTTTTTTTGTATGTTAAGGGAAGAGGGGTATTGGCGGAGAATCCATTCTGGGTTTTTGTATGTAAGCATACAGTGAGGAAAATAACTATTTGATCCCTTGCAGATTTTGTAAGTTTGCCCGCTTACAAAGAAATGAAAGGGCTATAATTTTTATCATCGATGTATTTTAAATGCTAGAGACAGAATATCAACCAAAAATCCAGAAAAAACGCATGATACAAATGCTATAAATTGAGTTGCAGTTCAGTGAGTAAAATAAGTATTTGATCCCCCTACCAACCAGCAATAATTCTGGCTCCCCCAGACTGGCTATGTGATACACAGATTAGTCCTGTCAATTTAAGAAGGTGCTCCTAACGACAACTTGTTATGTATATGAAAGACACCTGTCCACAGAATCTCTTTCTTCCATTCAAACCTCACCACCATGGGCAAGACCAAAGAGCTGTCAAAGGATGTTAGGGACAAGTTTTTAGACCTGCACATGGCTGGAATGGGCTACAAGACTATCAGCAAGAAGCTTGGTGAGAAGGAAACAACTGTTGGAGCGATTATTTGCAAATGGAAGAATACTAAATAACCATCTAAATGATTCAGAGAAGGATTGGGAGAAAGTGCTGCAGCCAGATGAGACCAAAATTGAGCTCTTTGGCATTAACTCGACCCGCCATGTTTGGAGGAAGAAAAATGCTGACTATGACCCTAAGAACTTCACTACAGTCAAGCACGGAGATGGAAACATTATGCTTTTGGGCTGTTTCTCTACTAAAGGTACAGGCCGACTTTGCCGCATTGTGGGGACTATGGACGGGGCCATGTATTGTAAAATCTTGGATGCGAACCTCCTTCTCTCAGCCAGAACACTGAAGATGGGTCATGGATGGGTCTTTCAGCATGACAATGACCCAAAACATACCGCCAAGTCAACAAAGCAATGGTTCAAGAAGAGGCACATTAAGATCATGGAGTGGCCTAGCCAGTCTCCAGACCTTAATCCTATAGAAAATGTATGGAGGGAGCTGAAACTTCGAGTTACCAAGCGACAGCCAAGAAACTTTAAGGATTTAGAGAAGATCTGTAAAGAAGAGTGGACCGAAATCCCTCCTGAGATGTGTGCAAACCTGGTTACCAACTACAAGAAACATCTTACCTCTGTGCTTGCCAACAAGGGTTTCTCCATCAAGTACTAAGTCATGTTTTGCTTGGTGATCAAATAATTATTTTACTCCCTGAACTGCAACTCAATAACATTGTGTTTTTTCTGGATTTTTGGTTGATATTCTGTCTCTATCATGTAAAATACACCTATAATACCTATGATAACAATTATAGACCTTTCATTTCTTTGTAAGTGGGCAAACTTACAAAATCTGCCGGGGATCAAATAAATATTCTCCCCACTGTATAATATCATTTTTGGCTATACCCAGGTCTTGAAGTGCATCCTCTTGCAGATTTGTTGATGATAAACTATACATATCTCCAGTGACAGGAAGTCTAATGTCTCTTTTCTCATTACCAAGAACCATAAAGTGAAAAGAAAGAAAAAGAAGAAACTCAACAGGAGTGCAGAGCAACAAAAAAGTCCAGAAGAGCTGGAGGAACTCTGGAAGACACTATCTGAAAGGTTAAGCAGTTGTGCTACGGTATGGCTTGTTTGTTGCTAGGAACCATTTGTATTTGTGGTTAGGGTTTCTTTTCTGATTGTCTTCTCAAACAAAACTAGGGTGCAGAAAGTCTGCCAGATGAAGTTGTGCCCTTTGATGCAGCTTCTGAAATACCTGTTGAAGAGCAAAGAAGCGAAGCTTTGGTGCGTATACAGAATGGCCTTATAAGTGGGCAGGCTGCAGAGTCCCTTGTTCTACTCCGTTCTGCCAGGTAAGCTTTGTGCTGCTGTCATTATGGTAATAGACATTGAGAATTTCACCCAATGTGATAAAGGTTGCTATTAATGCTTATCATGTGCCACTTTTCTACAGGGAAGTCTGGCCAGAGGGAGATGTGTTTGGATCTTCTGAATCAGGACCAGAGGAAGAAGTTGAACTTCTGAAACAAATTTTCTTTGCTGATCTTCCTAGTAAGTATTGTTGACTGTATCTCTTTCGTAATCTTGTTCAATTAGTACAGTTTGGTGATGGATTCAATATGCATAACTTACTACAGTTGTCTGAGTTTATTTCTCAAAGGGTATAATTGTTCTCAGTGAGTGCAGATTAGGAGTTCTTATTTACTTGAAAGTAATTCTTGATATGATTTTCTCCTTTTTGCAAGTTTTTTTCTTTAATATTTTTGTATTGAATTTATAGATTTGTAACATAGTCCCTAGAGGACGTTCTCAATGGATCAGTGCAATTACCATGTGTTTCTCACAGGAAATATTTCCTGTGAGAAACATGAAGGCTGCCATTGCTGACTTTTGTGTTCGGAAAAAATAGATTCCTGGGTGCCATGCTTGACTCTCTTGCTTGAAGACTTTCAGTCACTAACTCGGAACAAGTTATGGAGCTATTGACTTTTCAGTTTACTACAATTCTTCCAGGTTTGCATACTTGTGTTGGGACAGTAGATTACCGTAACTACTTGAAGACTGGGGTGTTGAACCCCCTTCCTGTCCAGGCCATTTTTTACTATTAAACGCTGCGGTATTTTGACTGACATTTATTAAGTCATGCTATGCCCTACCAAAATAAAGTTTTATATCATTTTTTTGGAGAGATGGAGCTTTCTTTTGGTGGTATTTAATCACCACTGGGGTTTTTATTTTTTACTAGGGTTGAGGGTTCGTGAGAGAGGGGGTTACAGGTATGGTGGTGAACGGGGAGAGTGCAGTCGATATTGAGATCTCTCCCTCTCCTCTCACGATGAAAGAGGAAAGGGAGAGAAAGCTTCAAACTGCAACCATTATTTATTTTATACGACAGCTGTGATTGGTAATTAGCTCTGTACCTTGTTTTATGAACTGCACTATCCAATGGACAGTGTGTTCACATGTTTCTGCTAGCGGTGCGCAAGAGGAGAAAAAAAAATTGCTGCAAAAAGCATCCAAGAGCGAGCCGTCCGTTTATATACAGTTGGTGGAGGCAAGTGGATAATATCCAGGCAATTGCTATTGCAGGAGGTGATTAACTCCTCAGCAAGAGAGGTCAACCCAGGTTACAGGGCATCAGCTGATTGCTAGGCTTACAGGGCCTCAAATAAGGACTATTGACGTCCGCTAAGCCTAGCAACCAGACAGAAAGAGCTAGCAAGCTGTACCTCACAAATTGCGAAGGGTACCTGTGATGTGTTAAACTTCCCCCATGCTCACCTTACATTGGACATGTATGTTGGTAACAAGGCTGAAGTCCAAGGAAACAATTGAAGCTGTATTGTTTCCTTTTTTTAAACCTATGGGCACTACGGTCTGTAGTTAATGAATACATTTGCATTTTTGTGGAGTAACAAATGGTGGCAATCTCCTCTTCTTGAAAATAATAGGTCATGGTCTATAACCATAGACTTGATGCGTGGTAAATAATGGTGCTGTGAAAACACATTGCAGGAACACATCTGTCACTGCTGCCTCTGGAAGGTGTCCTCCGTGGCCCTGAAAAGTCTTACTATGTGGTGGCAAATAAATGTTTAATGTTTGTTTTGCTACAATGGTGTAATGGTGATACTTTGAATTTTCAACTATGTTTGAGTCTGCCATCTGTTTGTTCACCTGCCTCCATTTAAGGTATATGGCTGTAAGGAGTGCACTGTTTTCTGTCGATTTAAAAAAAAAAAAAAAATATTTTGCCACACGCGTAAGATGCGCAGTAAAGTGCTTTATTTCATAGCTTGCTCCTGTGGCCAAATGCTGTGTGTACCTTGAACCACACATGTCTGTTTACAGCTCCTTTAGCGCAGAGCACCCAGATGAATATTTAGCAATGTGTGCATTGATTACTGCTCAATATATATAATATACTATAATATGTGTGTATTTAATTCAGGATCATCTCAGGTTGAAGAGGAGGAGGAGGAAGAGGAGGAGGTTGAGGAGGAAATAGAAGAGGAGCTCACCTCAGTGCAAGTGTCCGAGAAAGAATTTAACTTCTTGGACTATATGAAAAGGTTAGTTATTTGCAAATATGTGTTTATTGAAATCTAATCTAGCAAAGCAGGTAATAGCATAGTTCGCTGCCTCCTTATGTTATGAGTATCCTGTAGGGATGCACCGATACCAAGTATTTTGGCGAGTACTCGCCCAAATGCTCCCGATGCTAATCCCGGTACTGGAACTTCCAGTGTCAGGAGGCCAGACCGCGAGTCATTACACGCTGCCTGGCTTCCTGATTGGCCGGTAAGCCGGCTCCATGCTCCCTAGTCACCAGGGAGAATGGAGCTGGCTTCCCGACCAATGAGGAAGCCGGGGGGCGGGTAATGACTAGCCCCCCGGCTTCCAGATTGGCCGGAAAACCTGCTCCATGGTTCCTCGTCTGGAAGCTGGCTAATCAGTCATTACCTGCCCCCCGACTTCCTGATTGGCCATAAAGCCGTCTTCATGTTTCCTTGTCAGCTGGTCATGAGGGAGCATGGAGCCAGCTTCCCGGCCAATCAGGAAGCCGGGCAGCGAGTCATTACACACCGCCCGGCTTCCTTAATGGGACTTTCGGTATCGTACTCGATACCGAAAAACAGTATCGGTGCATCCCTAGCATCCTGATCTGTTTGGACTAATTATGCAGTTATTTATTTGGCTTATTTAGATTGTTTATTATTCTTAGCACATACAGGAATATTCCAATCATGGTGCTGTAGTTGTGCTACTACTCTCAATATTTACAGATGTGCTCAATTTTACATCCAGGATCAGGTTACCTTGCCTTTTGGTTTGTGTGCCATTATACATGAATGTTGGCCATAGGTACAACTTTCGTTTGCTGTAAATCATATAAAGGATTTGTTATAATCTGGTAATAATTCATATTATTTTCTGTACCATGCAGATTTGCCAACTGTAGTGTGGTGAAGACCTATGTTTTGCTGCTGAAAACCTATGTGCAGAACAACTCTCATACCAACCACTGTGTGGTGAAGATGTTGCACCGTATCGCTTATGACTTGAAAATGGAAGCACTGCTCTTTCAGCTCTCTGTTTTCTGTGTTTTTAATCGTATTCTCAATGACCCTGTAGCTAGTGCCTACAAGGTAAGGAATCTGGAGTATATTTAGTCAGTAGAGATAAGTGAGCTCCCCATCTGCACAATAGTCTTACAATAGTCTTCATCTGCACAATATTAGCCAATCCATATGATGGACCAAGATTGCTTTTGGGCAATAAATGTCATGCCTTTCTTAATCCTACATCACAGGATAGTAATCTGAAACCAATGGGTTATGCAGCTACCTTCAGATGATTGGACACTGGCAAATCAGAGCTGTAAGGACAGCATGCTCCCACTCCCAGCATGCCTTCATTTTTTTTGCTAGTGTTGTTGAACAGGTGTCTAGTCTGCTCCGAGAGAAGCAAATCCTTTTTGGTGGGGCTTTTTTTCCAAGACTCTTCTAATGACTTTCTTAGCACTCAGCCACTTCGGCACCCCCTTTGCAGCTACATATAGATCAGTTTATGCTTTAGCCAATCTTTGGTGGGGGGCGTGCCTGGCCAAGAAGAAGATGCGGGGCTGGACTGTAAAATTGCTTCGCACACTGGATTCTGCTGGTGTGCTCACCTTGGCACACATTAAATTAAGGTCCGTGGGCTCTGTTCTGTCATGCCGCTAACAGTTCAGAGGGGGTCTGCATTACCCCCCTGGTGACTTTATCTGTGCTGTCCTATTCTCCCTTACTCAGTTGCTATCTACTTAAGGGACCTCTTCTACAATTTCAATGCCACCCTTCTTCTCATACCTTTATTCTAAAGAGGAATTTGCCACAGTTATGTCTGATTTTATGGGGGAAATGTCTTCGCTTTTAGAGATTTCGGACCACATGGGGGCCGCAAGTGTGCACCCTCCCTCAGAGTCTTTCTACTGACCTTTCTCTGTCTGCCTTTGCAATGTCTGAGGAGGAGGGCTGTATTTAGTTTCTTTTGGATAAATATCAAGGAAATCACAGATAAATACATTGCCTCAGAAGAAGCCTAAAACGCAAGTAGCTAAGTCTTCAACTTCCTCCATTCAGAAATGTTCCTTTCAGATGTAGGCACCTTTCTTCATATATGGTGGACCTGCCCAATCATTCGCATGTTGTGTATGGCTAGCTATCAAATAGTTAACATCTTATTTTGTCAGCTCACTGGGGACCTTGTAGAGGCTCTACCTCTCAAGACACCAGACAGGGTCACTCAGTCACAATTTAACTGCTGTCTTCAACATAACAGGTTAAAGCTAAATAGTGGCAATCCACTACCTTGAATACACAGGAGGTTATTTCTAAGGCCATGCGCATGATGTTCCCTGACGCCTGGGTGTAGAGTGTCTTTACACAAGGCTACAAGCTGGTGTTTCGCACCCTGCCTCCTCCCCGTTTCCTTTCCTCAAATCTGTTCCGTTTGGTAGGCAGAAATGTTCCAAGGGTTTTACTCCAAACTATTGACTGTCCTCAATATCAAGAGTGGGGTTCACCATATCAAGGCCTGAAGATCCTTAATTAGTTCCTGCGGGTTCAGGATGGAATCCATCCAAAAAATTATTGCGTTCTTTCAACTGGTAGACTTCTTTGTCTCTGTGGACATCAATTATTTATAGATCCCCATTTTCCCATTTCACCTGGGTCACACCAGGCCAGGTTTCCATGGAAGCAGGGACGCCATCTGCGCACAAGAGCTCTGTGTGGGGCTGAGATCTCTGTCGATATGGGAGATTGCCACACCCCCTAGCCTACAAGCATGACCGCCATACAGAATTAAAAAGATATGCAGCTGCAATACTCTGAGTTATATCTTTGAAAGCCTTTTCTTCATGCTGATTTGTGAAAACTATATGTAGAGTATGATTCAGTACATGCAGGTGGCGTCATTATGACATCAGAAGGGGAGACAGGTGTTTTGTGATTGGTTCATTGTTTTCACTGCTTTGTATACATATTTGCACTTGTTTTGTTTGGGGCTCTCACTTTTGTTTTGCCTAAAGAAAAGAGACCAGACTGTCTCGAAGCGTCGCTAAAGTTATGCGACACTTTGATGGTCAATAAAGAAGATTGACTACAAAACCAATTACAGTTTGTGGGACCAGATTCTCCTCTGAAGCGCTTGCCTTTCCTCCTTCACAGGATCAAGTTATTGGGCATTCTGATGATTGCCATTGTCCCCAACTGGCCTAAGATGTCCTGGTACATGGACATCCTCAAAATTCTGATTGATTCTCCATGGGCTCTTCCAGACTGCCCAAACCTTATGATGCATCACATTGGTTTTAGATTACGATTCTGTGTCTTGAGATGTGCTTTAGAATTGGACAAATGTTTTGCTTACTATTCTTGGCATGCATTGGCTACGTGTTCAGGGAATTTTAGTACAATATGAGAATGTAATCCATTGGTTTGGGATATTTGGGGATGTCTGTTATTCTGGACTCTAGAGGCTTATGCTGACAACATAAAGTGACTTTGTGAGGCTTCCTTCCATTTATAACCCTTTTGTAAATGTAAATATTTTGGTGATTCTTGACAGGAAAGTTATTCTATTCCCTCCATAGACTGTTGACGAACTAAGTAGTGTCATTTGCATTTAAGAGAAGTCTGCTGATGGCTGCTTTTTTTTTTTTCTTCAATATTGCAGGAACTGGTATCATTTTCTAAATATATTCTCAATAAATTCTTTGTACTTGCTGCTACAAACAAAAAGGCCTATGTGGAGCTCCTTTTTTGGAAAAATACCACTGTAATTCGAGAGATGACAGAGGGTTACCGCAAGCCTGGTGAAGAAGAGAGGTGAGGATCTAGCAGGGGAAAGGGTGACAGCAGAAGTGCAACACATTACAGACAATAACCATATTCTAATGGCCAACATTCTCGTTATTCAGTAATGACGCTCGCAAGCGTATAAAATGGACACCAGCAGAAGAGGAGGAACTTCGATCCTTATACTTCCAGTATAATGAGGTTGAAGGTAAATGTCCCTCTTCTTCTTCTTCTTCTTTTTTTTTTTTTTATATATATGTTTTAAAGTGGACCTAAACTCATAAAATTGAGATTTGCTATGTGATGGTGTTCATTGTTACATAGGAGTAGCTTGAAAAATCTACTTTTGTCTTTAATTCCTCCTGAAAAATAGCAGTGCATTTCCGGGTATGTGACGGTAGACACAACTGTGCATTTGGCCTCAGAGTTGGTAGAGCTGCGGTGTGAATCTAAAGCACTGTTGCCTCTGACTTCTAGTCTCAGGACATGAGAAGCTTTGCACCTGTGCTTCTTAAAATCATGTTATATTTTCTTTACTGATTTGAGAAGTAAGTGGAATAGAAAGAAGCTGTCTCATGATGGGCTGTGCTTCTGCCTCTCCATTGGCTAAAGGATAAGTGCACTATCAAAGTGCATTATGCTTTTTGTCCCTTATGCCACCGTTGAGATAACCTTCTGTCTACTATCCCCAGTTGCATATTTACCATGCAAGTGTGCCCATGGCCTCTTTTCTTTGCTTACATCCTGTGCTGGGGGATCTAGATTAGGTCAGCGGGGGGCAAAAAGGATAAGTGAACTTTGTTCAGCTTTTTATTTGATCACTTCAAAGTACAAATCTAACATTGCAGGTGCTGATGTTGTGGACAGTATCTTGGCAAACTTGAAGCCTGGATCCCGCTCTCGGAAACAAATTATTAACCATCTTGTGCAAATGGGACTTGCTGACAGTGCAAAGGATTTCAAAAAAGAAGTGTAAGTATAAATTTTTTTGTGCAGTGTGTAACGAGCCCCTTGCTCGCTCGGTCCACTCTCCCGGCACTCCTTAGATTTCAGACTGCAGCGTCTGATATTTCGGACATCCGATAATTTGGGATTCGAACTACGGCTCTGTGCCGTTCGTATCCAGTGGGAATAGCTCACAACAAACACCAGACAGGCTGCATGTAAGTTCAAACAGGAATCGCGTTTATTGGATACACACACACACACTTATATAAAACAACAGTTTGAAGGTGGCCCAACCAACCACCTTCCTATTGGTCAACTGCAAACTATCCTCCAGCCCTCACCTAGGTCCTCTCCGCCATGCAAATGAGGACTAGAAACAGGCAAATAGGAATTGGTCCATAGTCTCTAGGAAGGAGGCTAGCCCTCAGGCTCCTCCAGCAGCCCCAGTGACGGTCCAGTCCGTCACATAGTGCATCTGATGGTAAGATACTGACAAAGCCTCATATTCTCCATAATTCATATTAGCATGTGCTTCTAGAATGTTGTATGCTATAACGGTATTTTTTAAGTTTTGTTTTTTTCTTACTTTCATTTTTGTGTGCTTGTGTACACACTTTCAGGCATCAGATGAGTGGTTAGTGCGTTTTACAGACCTGGTAGCATCCCTTTATGTGAATGAAGCATGTACATCAGAAACAAATGACTGCTTTACGGCAAACAAATGTTCAATGATTTTCTGTTTTCGCAGTAAGGGAACTCGAATTGTGCTCTGGACAGAAGATCAGGAGATGGAACTTCAGAGACTTTTTGAGGAGTTTCAGGAAACAGATGGTAAATCCATTATTTTTAGTATATAATGTTTTCCATTGTTTTGTTTAAAGTTAAGTTAATGGATTTCATAAGAACTCTGCGGAAACTTGATGTAGTGACAAACATTTATAAATGATCCTATTCACTGCCTGGAGCCATTACAGTGTTTACCAGTTTTTGAGTTCCTTCGGTTCTGGCTATAGAGAATAATGGCCATTCTGCCTGTTCCCTCTCCTCACCTTGGTAAGTTGATGCTGTTATTCTCTGTGGCCTGATTTTGCTTTCTTTTCTGGAAGAAAAGTTTTCACTGAAAAAAGACATTGTGTTTGATATAATTTGTTAGTGTGGGATGAAGCTTTATATTTTTTTCTTTAAGTTACATTTATTAGTTAACATTCACGCACTTCTCTTTTCATATTACTGTATCATTGTCAGGAGCGTAGTTTGACACAGAAATTACACCAAAAGCGCTATGATGTGCTTTAATGAGAAGAGCAGGAACTACAGAAAACCAAAGAAAGAAATGTATTAAAAGCAATCAGAAAAAAAATCACAGTACCAATCATACCCAACTCTCAGGCTAATTCCTAACACTGCCTTGCTCATATGTTAACAGGATAGAGTGGAGCTAAAACAGAGGCAGGCCTTAAACCTGTCAACGTTGTCATGAGGGGAATACACAGGCTTCCATTGCTAACCTCCCTCTGAACAATCTAGCTTCCTGGTATGTAAGCTGATCCTCTGGTTTCTGCAAAAGTGGCTGACCAGGGACAAGTATGCAGTTTAGAAGAGTCAACAGTAAGTCACAACTGCGCAGCTGTATCATTATTTTTGGTCAGTGAATTAAGTAGTAATTCACTGACCGAACGCAGGAAGTGATGTGTATTACATCGCTTCCTGCATTCAGTGTCACTCTCCGGTTACAGATGCCAGTGAGAAGCTGATGAAGCAGCTTCTCTGGGGGTCCCTAGGTGACATCAGGGGTCTTAGCCATGTGATAGCAATAAAGTTACGTGTAAAAAAAAATAAGGTTTTAAAAAAATAAAGCTAAAAAACAAGTCACAAATAAAAAAATGTTTTTTTTTAAAGTCCCCCCTCCCCCCACATACACACGCAAACATGCGTCAGGTGCACCAATGTGCGAAAACGACGATTCCGTCTATTGTGCCGCACCTGTTACAAGAATTATGTTTAACTGTTTATAATTATAAGTTTTCTTCTTTTGTGTCAAAAGTAACATTGTTTTCATTGCAGATCCTCTGGGGAATATCATGAAGCATATTACAGCAAAACGTTCCAAAGCTAGAATTATAGAAAAACTAATAAGCATGGGCCTTGTGTCTGACCGGAAAGAACTTTATAAGAAGAGGAAGAGGAAAGGAAAATCATCTGGCATAGTATGCAAATTGTATTTAGTCTTCCCAATCTTTTCTTACCTGTCTGCACATACATATTCCTGGAGAACATACAAATATGTCATTTTCTGCCAGAAGTGATTTTGAAAGTAGCAGTTGTATTTCTTGTTTGGGTAGACAGTGTGAGATGTAGCTTTAAATGGAGACTTTTCCAAGGATTTTGTCCACTCAGCAGAGTATGGGGGGGTTTTGTTGCCCATTTCTTGTTGCTGCAAAACACCAAAGTAACAGTGTTCTGCCCTCGCAGGAATTGTATAGCAGAACGATGAACATGAATGTCTGTCCACTTCATTGCTATTTGTTGCACAGCTCTGTCTCTTACTTAAGACAGAGCTATGGCAGTTTCAGCATCACTGCTGAGATGGCTCCATCAGTCACTTAACTGAACCTCTAGTCTGCTTACACAGACTGCAGCTTGCTTAGCTCAGATACAGTACACTGGTTTGTTCAGAAAGGGACTTTTCCTGTCACTCCAAAATCTTCAGGTCTTACTCGTCAATCTGGTTTTGTGGCCGGTCTGTTAGGGCCAGACAGGCCTAGACACGAGCTTTCCACTTGTGAAATTCACACTGCTGTTATTGCAGCACATAGGGGTTCTGACTGTCTGCAGTCTAATCCCTTTGTGCAGAAAACCTACCTGTCCCTGATTGGAATCCTCCTTTGCTACCTGTTCTGGAGACTGGGACACCCTTTGACAGCTAAAGCCATCTCTGTCACTTATTGGATTTTCACAGTGACGCAGTGCTTCTGTCAGAGCAGATAATCGGGAATATAGAATATGGATCTGCAGTGCATGCACCTTACAAATACTAGGACTTTGCTGTGCTTTAGCAGTAATGCCCAAATCTCGAAGATGCTTGGCAAATAACTCTTCTAATTTACACAAATTGTTAATGATTTGTAAGCTGTCTATTGTGATAGGGAAACATGATTTTCAGAGGGAAATTATTTTACTAACATTTGGTATACTATAAAAGCATTTACAAGTTGAAAAAAAGCATTTACACTGAAAATCAGGCAGATTTGAACCAAATCACTATTGCTGTACGTTTTAAAATGGCAGAGTAGTGGATGTGTTCTGGAAAGCTGTTTTAAAATGGCACCTTGTTGCACCACTAGACAGCACAGGTCATAGGCGATATGCACAGAGCCAGTTAGAGTGGCTCTCTGCCTTGTGATTGCCATAACTGACCATCACAATACAGTTGTTTATTATGAAGGGCCTTCCCGTTAATCCCAATATGGCGATAGGGTAGTAAAATAAAAACCTAGGGTTATACTGTCGCCTATAAAGGTAATGGACACTAAGCAATTGGTAGGCCGTATATTGGGAGGCTTGGATCGTGTGTCCAGGGATAGTGATTGATTCCTTACTGCATATAATCTTATCACATGCGGTGTACTGGCGTTCAAATGCATCGGCTGTCACCCGATCATTAACTTAAATGGGTGACAGCTGTCGCTTGTAAATGGCCGTTTAGGGATTCCCGCTACAGGAAATCACAAGTTCATGATGCAAGAATCCCTAATCGCACCTAAAATATGGGTGTGAATGGAGCCTTTTAAGCTTGTAAATCTACTTCCTCCAAGATTTATCATTGAATGTGGAAAACTCTGGGGGTTTCCCTACGCACCTTTTTGGTAGGCCATATTCTTTCCTTTCTTAAGTTAGGGGTAGAACAACACTTGGCTCTTGGCACCATCAAGGATTACGTGTGCCTACCCTGTCTATTCTTTTTCAATGTCCTGATGCTAATAATTCACTGATTCGTTGCATGAAGTTGCACAAGTTGTTCCCCTGTTGAGCATAAACTCCAACTGTTGGACTTAAATCTAGCATTGTAGGTGTTGGACACTCAACTACCCCTCCAATCCTATTGTGGACATTTCCTCAATAGGGTTATGCCATAAAGGTTGCCTTTCTTTTTGTTGTCTCTGTTTTCAACCTTAATGAGTATATTGTGTTACCTTCATGTTACCTTCACTGGTAAGAGCCGTCAGGGTTTCTCTTACTGCCACTGCTTTTTTTTTGTAACCAGACTGATTCCCTTTTTGTTATTCCATATGGTCTTAAAAGAGGTTCTCTGATTTAGAGATTCACTATTTCTAAGTGGATTAGACGGTATATTAGACAAGCCTATGGGATGCAGTGTGCCCCCTTTTCCTATTAAGGTCCATTCCACTAATACAATGAGTGTTAATTGGGATTTTTATCATCATGCCTCTGTGTCTCAGATCTGTAAGGCTGTGACCTGTTCTTCTGTGCATACTTTCTCTAAGTTCTAAAGGTTTTATGTCTCTGCCTCTGCTGATACTAGTTTTGGTGGAAAGGTTCTGCAAGCGCCTATTCAATGCCCTTGATTGCCCCTCTATGTTGCATTTTTTTCTTGTTGGGCTGCTTTGTCTGTGTTGTTTGGGTGTTCCCGCCCCTTTGTTTGTACTGCTTTTAGTTTCTTACTATCAAGCTGTGGACCTTATTGGTCGATAGCGAAAATTCGAGTTTTGTACTCGCTGTGAAATCCTTCTCTCTGAGTACATTGTTATCCTTCTCTCTTGGACTTCTTGCTATAACTGAAAAAGTGTGCTGTAGGGAGGGATATAGCCTCCAGGGGCCTAGCCTTCAGTTTTCTATGTGCCTTGTGTTCATTTTTCCTGTAGGCACTGTATATAACCTTAGGTTTCTTACTACAAAAGCTGTGTCCCTTAATGGATTCTAAGAAAAGGATTTTATGAGTACAAAAATCCTATTATCTTTCATAGCAGCAATTCTTTTAGGCATTACACAGTATAAGCACTCAAATGTGAATGTATCCTTCTGTTTTATTCTAATAAAACTTAGTTTGGCTTCTTTTAGTCTGAAGAAGAATTTCTACATGATCTTGGAGTAGATGAAAAAGATGTTGACACTGAAGAGGAAGAGGATTATGAAGAAGAGGAGGAGAGCGAAGAAGAAGAGGAGCAGGAAGAGGGCAAACCACAGCACATAACAAAAGACATATCACGCAGAAAGAGTGGATCGTTTGTGAATCAGAAGATACAAAATATTGTCCGGAATTTACATGAGGAAGGTGAGAGCCTTTAATTACCAAGTTTTAAGAAGAACATTCTTCAGGATAGGATAACAGAGTATGTGATCAGTGCAAGGACAGGATAGCGCAGTATGTGATCAGCGCAAAGGCCAGGATAACAGATTATGTGAGCAGTGTAAGGACAGGATAGCACAGGATGTGATCAGCGCAAAGGCCAGGATAACAGATTATGTGAGCAGTGTAAGGACAGGATAGCACAGGATGTGATCAGCGCAAAGGCCAGGATAACAGATTATGTGAGCAGTGTAAGGACAGGATAGCACAGGATGTGATCAGCGCAAAGGCCAGGATAACAGATTATGTGAGCAGTGTAAGGACAGGATAGCACAGGATGTGATCAGCGCAAAGGCCAGGATAACAGATTATGTGAGCAGTGTAAGGACAGGATAGCACAGGATGTGATCAGCGCAAAGGCCAGGATAACAGATTATGTGAGCAGTGTAAGGACAGGATAGCACAGGATGTGATCAGCGCAAAGGCCAGGATAACAGATTATGTGAGCAGTGTAAGGACAGGATAGCACAGGATGTGATCAGCGCAAAGGCCAGGATAACAGATTATGTGAGCAGTGTAAGGACAGGATAGCACAGGATGTGATCAGCGCAAAGGCCAGGATAACAGATTATGTGAGCAGTGTAAGGACAGGATAGCACAGGATGTGATCAGCGCAAAGGCCAGGATAACAGATTATGTGAGCAGTGTAAGGACAGGATAGCACAGGATGTGATCAGCGCAAAGGCCAGGATAACAGATTATGTGAGCAGTGTAAGGACAGGATAGCACAGGATGTGATCAGCGCAAAGGCCAGGATAACAGATTATGTGAGCAGTGTAAGGACAGGATAGCACAGGATGTGATCAGCGCAAAGGCCAGGATAACAGATTATGTGAGCAGTGTAAGGACAGGATAGCACAGGATGTGATCAGCGCAAAGGCCAGGATAACAGATTATGTGAGCAGTGTAAGGACAGGATAGCACAGGATGTGATCAGCGCAAAGGCCAGGATAACAGATTATGTGAGCAGTGTAAGGACAGGATAGCACAGGATGTGATCAGCGCAAAGGCCAGGATAACAGATTATGTGAGCAGTGTAAGGACAGGATAGCACAGGATGTGATCAGCGCAAAGGCCAGGATAACAGATTATGTGAGCAGTGTAAGGACAGGATAGCACAGTATGTGGCGAGCGCAAGGACAGGATAGCGCAGTATGTGATCAGCGCAAAGGCCAGGATAACAGATTATGTGAGCAGTGTAAGGACAGGATAGCACAGTATGTGATCAGCGCAAGGACAGGATAGCGCAGTAAGTGATCAGCGCAAGGACAGGATAGCGCAGTAAGTGATCAGCGCAAGGACAGGATAGCGCAGTAAGTGATCAGCGCAAGGACAGGATAGCGCAGTAAGTGATCAGCGCAAGGACAGGATAGCGCAGTAAGTGATCAGCGCAAGGACAGGATAGCGCAGTAAGTGATCAGCGCAAGGACAGGATAGCGCAGTAAGTGATCAGCGCAAGGACAGGATAGCGCAGTAAGTGATCAGCGCAAGGACAGGATAGCGCAGTAAGTGATCAGCGCAAGGACAGGATAGCGCAGTAAGTGATCAGCGCAAGGACAGGATAGCGCAGTAAGTGATCAGCGCAAGGACAGGATAGCGCAGTAAGTGATCAGCGCAAGGACAGGATAGCGCAGTAAGTGATCAGCGCAAGGACAGGATAGCGCAGTAAGTGATCAGCGCAAGGACAGGATAGCGCAGTAAGTGATCAGCGCAAGGACAGGATAGCGCAGTAAGTGATCAGCGCAAGGACAGGATAGCGCAGTAAGTGATCAGCGCAAGGACAGGATAGCGCAGTAAGTGATCAGCGCAAGGACAGGATAGCGCAGTAAGTGATCAGCGCAAGGACAGGATAGCGCAGTAAGTGATCAGCGCAAGGACAGGATAGCGCAGTAAGTGATCAGCGCAAGGACAGGATAGCGCAGTAAGTGATCAGCGCAAGGACAGGATAGCGCAGTAAGTGATCAGCGCAAGGACAGGATAGCGCAGTAAGTGATCAGCGCAAGGACAGGATAGCGCAGTAAGTGATCAGCGCAAGGACAGGATAGCGCAGTAAGTGATCAGCGCAAGGACAGGATAGCGCAGTAAGTGATCAGCGCAAGGACAGGATAGCGCAGTAAGTGATCAGCGCAAGGACAGGATAGCGCAGTAAGTGATCAGCGCAAGGACAGGATAGCGCAGTAAGTGATCAGCGCAAGGACAGGATAGCGCAGTAAGTGATCAGCGCAAGGACAGGAGAGCGCAGTATGTGATCAGCGCAAAGGCCAGGATAACAGATTATGTGAGCAGTGTAAGGACAGGATAGCACAGTATGTGATCAGTGCAAGCACGAGATTACAGAGTACAGTATGTGGTGAGTGCAAGGATAGGATAACAGAGTATGAGAACAGTGTTGCTTATGTGTCATCATATCTGCAATGTAAAGATCTACATGTATAGTCCTTGTGCATGTTAGGGCTATCAATACCTGCTGTTTCCCTGAGCTATGTTGTATGTCAGTGACGGCATCATCATAGAGGAAAATGGAATCTGTTAAATGTGCTGATCAACCTGAAAATGGCAATCAGCCATGGTTCATCTCCATTATTTTACCATTTGTAGTTGGGCTCATTTTACTATACAGAATTTTTACACATCGAATAGTGAAGAGGTATATGTATTTTATATAATTGTATCTACTGATTTAACAATTTTTATACTGTATAGCAATCCTGCTCTTTTAAAACGGTTGTTGAGCTTGACATTTTTTACTTGGTTGTTTTTAGGCTTATCCGGACCATTGGTGTGGCTTCAGAACTGTCTCAACCGGACGGCAGATGACAAAGAGGAGGACGGTAAGTGCCTGATGTAAACCACCTTACTGTATGTAAAGAGTTGACAGTAGTCAAAACAGAATCGGAGAATGTTGAGATCTTTGCTTTTTTGTAATGCTTTCTGACATCGTTTTGTTTGTAAGGTTATAATGTCTGCTTTAAAAACCTTCATCTAACACTCAGCCACTTCCTCCTATGCACCCCTGTATATGTTTCTGTTAGACTGGTCTCTGTGAAGCTGCACACCTGGGTCTCGCGCCCTTTGTAGAGTTGGACTAGAACAGAGGAATGCTCTTGCGCAGACATAACTGACGCATGCAGGGCACGTTGTTTTATTTATAACCTGGCCGAATTTCATATTCTCTTACCAGTTACCCACCTTTACTGTACAGATGTATGAAGGTAAACACTGTTAATTGGCTTCCTTTCATTTAGAGACATAATGTGCAGATGGTTTATAAAGGATATTTATACTGTAGATCTAAAAATCAAAACTGTTCTTTTAGATTGTAAATCATTTGCTTTCTGTATCCCCCCTTCTTACCTAAAAGACTGTAGTATCTTTCCTTGTCCATATCTTTTCTGTTTTATGCCCCAATAGATTGTCAACTCTTTTGATTTCGTTAAGTGGCTCAAGGTTAACATGGTGGATAGCTTGTGGCATTTTGTTTCACTATTGACATGACTGAGGATACTTGGTGATCAGTTTGTTACTACAAGAAAATGACTCGGTGTCTAGCTTAGTGCAAGAATCTCCTGCATATTTTCATTGATTACACTAGTTTTTTTACACTAGTTTTTCCTGATAATAAAGCGGTATCAGTACATTGGAGATTGCAGCAGCTACCATTCAGATACATTGCATTTATACTCTGAAATTATACTCTGCAAATTCTGTATATTTTCCTCTACCTTCTGTAACCCTCCCCTTTTAATAGACTGTTAAGTCTCCAATATTCTGTGTTTCTACCTTATACCTAAAGATCCATAAGCTCTTCCCCTTCTGTATTGTTCTGTTTTACTTGAATGCATTGTAAACTCCCATAATGTTTACAAGATCCATCAGGATTTTATTGTCTATCACTAGACAAGAAAAATGTCATCCTACTGCCTGACCTCTAAATGACTACAGACAGCTTTTCTTTTTTTCTTTATTTTAAATTGACAGACAAAGGCCAGCGTGAGTACTACAGCATTTAATTCTTGGCAGGGGTTCTAACCCTTCCCAAGTGATGGACTTGCCTCTTAAGACGTCCTGTATTTTTTTTTTTTTTTGTAATGTAAAGGCCAAATCCCTTTGGCTATTCTGCTGCTGGTGGCACCTCACCTATAGCAAAATAACCTAATGGACGCCTCTCACTGGCCGAAATGTTGCAGAATCCCACTGGTTCAGCCAACAAAGGAGTGACACCATGATTGAAGCTATCACGTTATTGTGGAGGTATTGCCATTGATAGAATCTCTTGTGAGACATGGCCCTTATGGAGGCCACACGTGATTGTACATTCCCCATTATATTTATCAACTACTATATATTGTGAGGATGTACCCTAAACAACCCAGTTTACATCCAGTCATTTTGGTACCTGCACTGCAATGTTCTTGGTAAATTTTAAAGGCGCTATTATAATCAGATTGTGTGGTCATCTTAAGAGATTAAACTCTTCCAAGTTGGGTATCATTGTATTATAGCTTTGAGATGTGTAATTGAATTGCTATAGCTCACTCAGTGCTATCTTGTTTCAGAAAATATTTTAGAGTTAAGATTTGAAATGGAAGAATTTACTGGTTTCTTTCTCCCCGCTTAGGTTCCTCTCAGTCAGTTCCTCTTGTACCATTGACTGAAGACAATGAGGATGCCATGGAAAACAAAACATTCCAAAAGCTGTTAAAAATGGTCGGAATCCGTCCACCTGCCAATGAGCAGGTAAGGGTTTAGATTTAATATTTTGGGCAGTGAATTTTGTTATTCTGCCATCATCCATAATTTTTGCAAAATAACAACTGTTTTGTGATCCATCAGTGTTAGTGGTTCCTGAGCAGTCGCATGCCCAATTCTTAACATTTTGATAACTTTGAAGAGAACGGTATTCATAATCTTTCCTCTTGTGTTTCTAACTGTTGGTCAGCTTGTGTCCAAACCAAGCACTGCAAAGCGATACTATCCCTGTGTGGAGTATTAAGATAAATCTCCAATCATTACATTTTTATTTTCTTCTTCTTTTGTAGTGTGCAGTAGACAGCCCTGATACTTCCATGACATGCGGAGGGGGCCCCAACGCTACCAAAAACAGTGATATCTCGCCACACTTTTCACCTAGGTTCCCATCAGTATGTTCTCATAAGGTTACCAGGAGAGAATCTAGTAAGCCTTAGTAGCTTCCTGAGTGCAAAAGTTAGTTCAGGCAATTCAGTGTGTTAGAAAAATATTTGCAGTGCAGTGTCATGCATACCCATTCTCTGTTTCTGGAAGTAGCTGCAGGTGCCATTGTGAGGAAACTGAATGACTGCCATGTACAAGTTGATTACTGCAGATTGTAAAAGAAGAATTAAAAGAGAAGTTAAGGCCAAACCTTTTTTTTTTTTGTAAATGTACTCCTTTGACCCAAAGTTAGCAGATAGCATGTTTATGCCAGCTATCGGCTAACAGAACAGAGCCACGCTTCAGTCGAGAAGGATCCCAATAATATCGTCGGGATCCATGTTGGTCGCCTGATGTTCACCACCAGCTCTAAGAAGCAGGGAGAGTAAGTTTTTTACTCTCCCCACATTTCTCCTTTAATCAAAAGTAAAATGACTGGTCATAACTGTACATACAGATCCGGTTATGCTTCAGTGCTTGGCTTAGACACTGGTTCAAATTAATGCTGGACAGTATGATCAACTGACTTTTCTACTCTCTGTGATCACGGGGTGTCAAATTGAGCCCATTCCACAAATATTTTTAAGAACTGGTGGCTCTTATCTACCTGTCCATCTAAATGTGACGTCCCAGCCAAAATAAAATACTGGGAGTATATACATTGTTAGAAAAATAAAGTACTGTTAAATTGATAAATGTTGGTGGCTCACTGCAACAATCTTATTATGCAAGCTTTCTGCTCACTAGTCTTGTCCTCCATCATTAACAAATAAAAGCTGAAATGGCAGCATACCAGATTTTTCTCTTGTTCCGTTATTTGCGCCTGGTAGGAGTACCGGCATGTGTTTCCTGCTAGGTGGAATGTCATAAGGATTTCAAATCGGTGCCGATTTTTCCTTTTTTTTTTTTTGGTCCAGTTTTTGTTTCTCTATTATAGATTCCTCTGTGCTATATTAGTAGACCATAAGCTGGAAATTTCCATTAAAAGCCAGATTTAAAAAATTTATTATTGGTTTAGTATCTGCTTTTGGGTTGTATTGCCAGACTGTGTACTACAGGATGTATAGTAAGGTTCTCTTATACTTCATTAAAAAAATACACTATTTTAGGAATCGTTCTGGCGCATTGCAGGAAAGTTAAGCGCTGACAAGCTTCGGGAGGCAGCCAGTTCCCTTGTCCTGTCATCTCCAGAAGAGCAGCCCATTGAGGCTCACACAGACTCTGAGGACCAGAGTGCTAATCTAGAGCAGAGAGCTGAGGCGTTGCGTGCTCTCTTACTTGCCAGAAAGAAGAAAACTGCATTTGCACCTTCGGGTAAGAGGCTCAAATATTTTTTTATTCTTTTAATACCCTAAAATTTTCAATACAATACATAAAAATCTTGCTCTCTTCCCGAAAGTATGATTTTGATCTTCATATTACTGATATCTTGTGCATATTCAAATAGAATTCTTTGTTTTACATAATTGTGCTTGCTTAGATCTGTCAAACTAAAGTATAGTACTGTATATGGTTGTGTAGCAGCAAAGATCCACAACGCTACAAATAAAAATGTAGTGGCTTCCCTGAATCCTGATTTCTAGGCAGACTCCTTTATTATGCCCTTGCCGGCTTCCCTTAATAATATTGGTCTCATTGGTTAAAGTGATATGTTGTGATGGTATTTTCAAGTTTGTTTTTCCCATTATTAACCTTTTATTTTATTCCATCTTGCGGCCAGAAACAGAGCAGACATCACACAGCGCATCTGCGGAGCCTGAAAAATCAAGTAAAAGGTATTGAGATTTTCTTATTTTGTGGTTAAAATGGACGTTGCACTAAATGTACACTTAAAGTAGTATTTCTGGCATAATCCCTGGAAATGCAGAGCAGCCCAAATTTCACAAGAAGATGAATCTTTTCTTTTTTTTTTGCATGGTGGTTTTAGGTGGGGGAGGGGTGTACATTATCATTTTAGGCATTTTCCGTGTTTGACACATTGTTACATTTTTCCTTACATAGGGTAAAGACTAAAAAGAAGAGCCGGCTAGTGGACAGTGAAGATGAAGAGCAACCAGAAATAGATGATGGTGTGTTGCTTATCACAGATATTAATAGAACAAATACCAAGATTTACAATATATCATGTGCCGCATACAATATAAGTGTTAACCAGTAAACTGCATGCAGTGCTGAGTGGTCATTACAAGTGACATACCACATGCAAGGTTACTATTTATTTTAAGGGCGTATCAGATGTGAGTGTATGATGCATGTTTGTGGTTTTTAGGCTGCACAGGGCTGATCCTTTGTTGGCATGTAAACAATACATTAAGCAATACAGTCTAAAAATGTAGATGACACAAATAGTTTTCTCACAAAGTGAAAATGTTCCAAGAATAAGTTGCTGACATTAAAAGAAGGAAATCTTGAAGTTCTAAAGCTGAATCCCCACCAAATATATACCAAAAAGAAATTGTAATTCTATGCAGCCAGACTTGGTATCCAGAAGACTGAGCTGGGGGGACTTTGCCTCTGGAGTACAACAAATAATATATGTTGGGCTGGTGCTACTGAGTGGAGTAGACCTCCATTTAGACCTCAGTTGGTTTGGGCCCTATAGTTGGTTACGGCTCTTGGGTGGTATTTGGCTATCTGCTCCCTGTTCTGATCTGCAATCACAGTGCATGGCAGAGGGAAGTCTTCAATCATTAACTGCGGCTTTCAGATGGGGTGTGACTGGTTCAGAGTCCTAAAATGTGTTGCTGCTTCATAAATCAGGTGGCTAAAGGTGCCCATACACTGCACGATTATCGTACGATAGTCATATGCGATCGCCTTTTCGTACGACAATCGTAACGTGTGAATAGTGTGCCAGACAGACAGTACTGTACAATCGTACGACTTTTGACGGTCAAGCATGTTTAAAAACTTTCGTCCGATAATCGTAAGGTGTATGGGCACCTTTTAGGCTTCGTTCACACTGGGCGATTTGGGATTCCGGTGTCAGGAATACATCACTGGACGCAGGATAATTGCATCCAAGGACAGTGATCTATTCCAGACAGCATGTAATGGCATCACATACGATTACATGGTGGCTGCCGCTGTCACCCGGTCATTACCTTGAACGTGTTCAGCGGCCGCATCTAAATGGAACAGTGTGAATGAAGCCTAACAATGCTGTAGTTGCTGTTGTATGTTTTGGAAGACGGGGCATGTGTTTTTATCCCTATGTCATGCTGTTTCAATGATTGCTTATGTTATCACTTAACATTTCAGCTGCTCAAGAATCTGAAGGTATTCCTACTAATGAAACCTCTGCAGCTGACACACAGGATGACAGGTAAGGCTGAACTCTGGGCTTGAGAAGTTTTATCCTTGCCATACTATTTTAAGGCTTCTTCCTTAACTAAAACGAATTACCGTATATACTCGAGTATAAGCCATCCCGAATATAAGCCGAGGTACCTAATTTTAGCAAAAAAAACTGGGAAAAAGTATTGACCCGAATATAAGCCGAGGGTGGGAAATGAGGCAGCTACTGGTAGATAGATACCAATAAAATTACATTAATATTTATTTAAAAGAAAAATAACCTAGCTCTGTAAGTGGAAAAGGGGGTACAGGGCTACATATCATGTACTACGGATCATTTAACCCATTCATATTAGCAGAGGATAATTGTAAATCTATTGTTCAGTGCACTCTATATGTAGTATATAGTACATGTACATATAGAGTGCCTGCAACAATACATTTACAATGATCCTCTGCTAACATGAATGGGTTAAATGATCCATAGTACAGGGCTACATACAGATCATTTAATACATTCATGTTAGTATAATTGTAAATGTATTGTCTGCACTGTATTAGCAGTATATACTCTATATAGAGTATATACTGCTAATACAGTGCAGACAATACATTTACAATTATACTAACATGAATGTATTAAATGATCTGTATGTAGCCCTGTACTATGGATCATTTAACCCATTCATGTTAGCAGAGGATCATTGTAAATGTATTGTTGCAGGCACTCTATATGTACATGTACTATATACTACATATAGAGTGCACTGAACAATAGATTTACAATTATCCTCTGCTAATATGAATGGGTTAAATGATCCGTAGTACATGATATGTAGCCCTGTACCCCCTTTTCCACTTACAGAGCTAGGTTATTTTTCTTTTAAATAAATATTAATGTAATTTTATTGGTATCTATCTACCAGTAGCTGCCTCATTTCCCACCCTCGGCTTATATTCGGGTCAATACTTTTTCCCAGTTTTTTTTGCTAAAATTAGGTACCTCGGCTTATATTCGGGATGGCTTATACTCGAGTATATACGGTATCATGTTTATCAAGTGTGTAGCACTCTGGGAATAAGGTATCAATTTAAAACGGCAGCAGCTAGAGAAGCAGGAAAAAGCTAAAAATAAATAAATAAAAAATACTTAGAAAAGCTCAGAAGAGCGCTAACCAATATCCCAATATCCTTCAAAAATGATATTTATATTTGTAAACTTCAATCCCAAAAAACATTTTTTATGATCTTCTATACAGGTTTTTTTTTCACCCTTTACAAAAAATGTATGCATTCGGATTGAAGTATATTGTTGATGACGGTTACTTTATTCTATGTATTAATACTCAACTGGCTTTCCTTGTATGGTGCTTTTAGTATTTTTGCTTTCTCTCCTCTAACTTGTGTTTAATCTACCACAATAGCCTCATTAAATACTAAAGGAAACTTCCATCATTAACCAGTATAGTTTGCCAATGAAAACATATGTAGCCAAATAATTAGGCATTTTAGGAGACAGTGAAGGGAATTTATCAAAATTTTAGCAGACAAAATCTGGAGCAGCTGTGCATGGCACCCAATCAGCTTTTCTCTATAGTTTTTTCAATTAAGATTTGAAAATGAAGGAGTGTGGCTGATTGGTTGCTGTGGGCAGCTGCTACCGTTTTTGTCTGCTCCAGTTTTGATAAATTCCCCTAATTCTGCAGAGAATTGTTTCTAGAGGGGTTTCCCTATAGCATTTTGGAAGGATGGGTAGACGATAGACATGCCAAAGAACATTCCAGCGTCACATCAATTCTATGGAGAAAATGGAAAAGATACTATTCATTATGATAAACAACATATACATTTAATTTTTTATATGAATACGCACACTACTTTTTGGCCCTCATTGCAGTAATTGTAGAGTTATTCAACATGAATTATTTTTGGTAGTTTTGATTCACTAGATTTTGTTGAAGCAACAGTAAGGGGCTATATTATAGAGCTAAAATCCACCTGCTGTATAGAAGCAACCTGCTGGAACTTCAGAAGGCTTTTTAATTTTTTTTCAGACCAAAGGTAGCTGCCAAAAGAAGCCGACTGTTAGACAGTGATGATGAGGAGCCAGGAACTGAACACAAAGGTTTGTATAGTTCTTTTTTTGCTGAGTGTACTGTTTGGCTTCTGCTTTTATTTAACAGTTATGCTTGTCTCTATTTTATTACCTCCAAAAAGGGGAAGATTCCACTGGGATAACAAAACCAGCCTCTGATTCAGAACCAGAGGATGATGTTCAACCAAGGAAGAAAAAACGGCTACGAATTGATGATGACGATGACGATTAAATTCAGCAATAACTCGAGGAGCACATGCCATATCTGTACAAGATTTCATTTCTTATTGGTGGAATAATATTACACGGATTGCATGGACTTACTGACATTAACAAACTGTGTGAGGAGCCTTCAGAAATACTACGCTGTAGCCACACTGGGATGAAGTCAATCTTGTGAATTGTTTATAAAGATGGACATTTGTATGTTTTAAGCTATTTTCTTGCACTATATACACCCTATCTTATCTAATTTCCATTGTAGGATTATTTTCTAGGTTTTATAATTGACCGTTCTTGAACTCGGTTAAATATTAAGCAGATCTAATAAAATTGTGCATAAATACTGTGTATTGGTGAATCTTATTTTTTGTTTTGATGGACCTTATTCTGGTCAGTTAATGATAGAATGCTCCTCCAGACAGATATGTGCCCTGTTCCCAGGTGATCACATATTTCCGCACTCGCCAGATCTCCATCACCCTCTTATAATAGACAGCAAGGTATAATGATAAATAATTCTCCATTTCCCATTTTCAACCTGGTTATTTAACCGCCAGTATTTCACCTCTTAAGGAGAACTATCCATCATCAGCAAAGCTCCAATAAAATGTGGCTTACAAGAAGAATATCATCAAGCTCACAAGAAGATTATCACTTCTTGTGAGCTTGATAAAGAGGTTAAACCTCGAAACGCGTTGCTCCCCCTGCCTTTTAACCCTGCCAGCTATCTTGTCGCCGCTGACCGTCACCGGGACCACGTCCCTTTACTGCCGCTGGTCGGCAATCCACATGCCGTCCTCCTCCACACACTGACAGGCACACGACTCTACCATTCACAGCGTGGTGTTTCCTATAGCCCCAGTCACATCCACAGCAGCTGACCGGAAGCTGCCTAGTCCCATTCAGTCTACCTCCTGCAGACACAGCAGTGACACGGACGGACCTTCGGCTCCCCTCTCTCCTTCCGGCTCCAGCCACCCGCTCGTGTGGAAGGGCTCTCACTGCCGGACACCCACTCAGCCAAGGCTCTCTGAACCCCCTCGATCTCCACCAGAGGCGGTCTCTCCTCCAGCCCTCGGACACAATGCAAGTGACACTTTTCCTCATTAGTACCTACTTACACACACAAGTTTTTGCGCCCTTTACATGTTTTTTAGTTGTATTAACATCAGGTGTCTCCTGTTCTCTAGGGCTGCATAGCACACCATAATTTAAAATTCACCCGAGAGTGCTGTACACTGTTTTTTTCGCCTTATGACTTTAGCAGCCCGTTCCTATAAGCAAGCAGGCCTACAGGCACTTGGTTGCCCCCAGGTGTTATTACACAATGCTATAGAACACAAGGGACAAGCAAAAGTAAAGGATAAGAGTACCTGTGGTCCTCAGGAGTATCAGGCCTAGACCAAAGCACAGCTGGAAAGTATCCCGTAGCAAAGTCCACAGGTAAGTGGTGGTCAGAGCATGTGGCGGATGATGAATCTAAACCAGAAATGGCCCAAGGTAAAGTATAAACCAGAGATGAGGTCTGTCCAAGGCTAAGTCAAGGGTCAACAACCGGGAATCCAAATATAAGGGAATGTGGGCAGGAGATAGGAAGCATGATGCTATCACAAGCTCATAATGCTATAGAACACAAGGGACAAGCGAAAGTAAAAGAGAAGAGTACCTGTGGTCCTCAGGAGTATCTGCCGTGGACTACAGCACAGCTGGAAAGTATCCTGTAGCAAAGTCCAGAGGTAAGTGGTGGTCAGAGTAAGTGGCAGACGATAAACCTAATCCAGAAATAGCCTGAGGTCAAGGCGGCAGCAGGCAAAGTGGAATCCAGGCGCAGTCTGAGGTTAAGGCAGGCAAACTATAATCCAGAGACGAGGTCAAGGGTCGGGAACATGGACTGCAAAGATAAGACAATGTGGGCAGAAGCCAACAAGGCAAGGTGAGTGTACAGGAGCCAGGACGATATTGCAAACTCAGCCCTGGGCTTGTCATGTTCAAATACAGCACCACAATATATCCGAGGTAAAAGAGTCAGCGGGTGTGTGGCTGCCAGGCCAATCAATGTAGAGAAGGCTACGCAGACAGAACCAACACGCTGTCTTGCAATAACAATGCCTCTCAAGCAGTGCCATGACCAGCCAATAGAAGCGAAGGGCATTGCTGCCAGAGGCAGGCCTGTCGCCCAGCAATTGCTGACATGCGAGAGTGGTTGGAGAGTAGAAGTGTGAGAAGAGTAGAAGTGTGAGCATGTCCCGTGTCCCGAACAGGTAAAAGTAAACACCTTATGGTGTCTGTTGTAAAGTAGAATTTTGAAAACAAGTTTTCTCTAAGATATTAGTACGCCAATGTCTTCTAATGGTGATGAAATACAGGTGAAACTCGAATAATTAGAATATCGTGCAAAGTTCATTTATTTCACTAATGCAACTTAAAAGGTGAAACTAATATATGAGAGAGACTCATTACATGCAAAGCAAGATAATTCAAGCCGTGATTTGTCATAATTGTGATGATTATGGCTTACAGCTCATGAAAACCCCAAGAACCCCAAATCCACAACCTCAAAAAAGTAGATTATTACATGCAATCAATAAAACAAGGATTGCACATAGAACAATATCGGACCTCTGAAAAGTACAAGCATGCATATGTACTCAGTACTTGGTTTGGGCCCCTTTTGCAGCACTTACTGCAATTACTTTTGCACAATATTCTAATTATTCGAGGTTCACCTGTACATGGCTATGCACAGAAGGATTCTCTGGTTTCACATTGTTAAAGCTGTGTGAAAAATTACCTGCAATCATTTAAAACTATGAACATACTGTAGCAAGAAAATAAATAGCCAAACAACCGTATGCCTGTGAACTTCGGGTTAATACTGTATTGTGGTTGATAACTGCTGATAATCTGACAAGGTTTGCTATGATGTCATTTCCAGCTTTAGACACTGACAGACACTTTATGTTTACAAAGTGATACTGACAGGACTTTAAACAGGGGGCAGAGATATGGTCATCCTTTTACATTGAACGTAAAATTCCACAAAGAAGTTTTTAGGACAAACTCTGTTTAAGGTTAGTTATTCGGTTGTTTGTTCTGCTGATTTTATTTCATATAAAGTATCAATCAACTAATACAGTATGAGGGGAATTTATAAAAGCAATTGCGAGTGTTAGAACTTTCAAGGAAAATATTTGCATTTTAAGTTGTGAGTGTTTTCTTAGGTGATGCTCCAGTTTCAGTCAGCCCAGAACAAGTGCAGATGAAAACACGTGCAAAAAAGGTACAAAAAACATGCAACTGAAAAAGTAGTGCAAGCTCTGAAGAAAACAGGGGCACATGTTAAAAGACAGATTTGCACATTTAAAAAAAATGATCTAAGAGGCTAAAACTGTCACAAGTGCTTTGATCAATTAAAATAAACAACCCCCTATGTTTATTTTGATATCTTACAAAGTAAAAATGCCTGCTAGAATGATAGAAGATGCATGCAATGTACAGGTGAAACTCGAATAATTAGAATATTGTGCAAAAGTAATTGCAGTAAGTGCTGCAAAAGGGGCCCAAACCAAGTACTGAGTACATATGCATGCTTGTACTTTTCAGAGGTCCGATATTGTTCTATGTACAATCCTTGTTTTATTGATTGCATGTAATAATCTACTTTTTTGAGGTTGTGGATTTGGGGTTCTTGGGGTTTTCATGAGCTGTAAGCCATAATCATCACAATTATGACAAATCACGGCTTGAATTATCTTGCTTTGCATGTAATGAGTCTATCTCATATATTAGTTTCACCTTTTAAGTTGCATTAGTGAAATAAATGAACTTTGCACGATATTCTAATTATTCGAGTTTCACCTGTATGTGTTTTACTTCCTTGCTTTTTGGCTGTTTAATATCAAATATATATTTTCTACTGAATGTCATATAAAAATGTTCAATATTGATAAAGCATGTGCCTTTAAAAAAACTGCACATACCTTTTTTTTATGATTTCTCAAACACTCACATTTGGGATGGTTTGCTATACAAATACTAACTTTGGGAAGCAAAGTCAATGGCTGGCCTACCTCCTCTACCCTGCTGCCTATATATTGGTCATTAAAAAGGCGATGGGGGGAATTTATCAAAACGAGCAGAAAAAAATCGAGCAGTTGCCCATGGCAACCAATCGGCATCTCTCTTCGGTTTGTTCAGTTAAGATTTGAAAATGAAAGAGAGAAGCTGATTGGTTGTCATGCACAACTGCTCCAGTTTTTGTCTGCTCCAGTTTTGATAAATTCCCTTCAGTGACACTTTGCCCATTCAGGGCAAAGTCATTGAGTGGAATTCATCAAAACTGGAGCAGACAGAATCTAGGGCAGTTGCCCATGACAACCAATCAAGTTTTATTTTCAAAGTTAAACTGTAGAGCGAAGCTGATTTGTTGCCATGCACAGCTACTCCAGATTTTGTCTGCTCCAGTTTTGATAAATTCCCCCCATTGTTTCTGTGAATAGGCTCTCGCTACCGATACCTCTCCATCTCTCTCCCACCACTCCTTTCTCTATCACAGCTAGCATCAAAATGCAGTGCTCAGGTCAAGCACTAGACCTGAGCTTCCTTACATTGGTGGAGGTTAAATGCTCCCAGCAGCACAATGGGGGGGAATTTATCAAAACTGGATATACTACTAATTTCTTTTGCAGTATTTAGTTGCTAGGGATGAGGAAAATCAGATTTCCCTTTGCTGAAATTTTCAATAGAAAGGCAAAAATAGCTGATAGGTGTTAGGAAATCTGCTAACTATGCTGGACCTGTTCTTGGGAGAGCTAATGCTAACCACTAACACAGTGCTCTCATGATAATCACATGGCTTTGTTGGTAAACATGATCAGCATACAGATCACTTGGCTATTATAATCACCCATGTTATCGCCATCAAAGCTTGCTTGTAGATCCCTAGCTGTCCCTTTAGGGTTCTCTGTGGAGCAAACTCTTGCGCTAATCTTTGTGGGATATTTAAAGTGACATTAAACCCTCAGATTTTTTAACATAAACCAATACTGTAATGTGTGCCTTACTGTAATCCATGGTAGTTTCCCTTCTCTTTGCTGCTCTT